CACTTACAATTGATAATAATAAAACTTTTATATTGTTAAAAATTTACTGCATTCGGGTTTTAGTTTTGAAGCTTATTTTTTTATTAATATTTTTTCTGGTGTATTTAAGCAAAATCGCAAGCCATATATATTTCATTTGATGCCCTACACGTAATGGTTGCATATTTTTTTCTAATTGTACCTCATTTGTCCAGATAAGATGAGTAGTTTCGAAATTATAAGGGAACAGATGAACATTCTTACATACATACATACCGGCCAAAATCATAACTCTCCTTTTCGTATTACGAGTTCAAAAATTAATATCTTTCAAAAAATTTGTAAAAAAAATATTATATAAAGACCCACAGTCAGTCAAAGTCAAAATGTAACAGGTAATAAAAAAATCTAAATAAAAAAATCACTCTTTTTGCCTTCATTAATTCATTATTGCATTTAACATGCACACATTCGCCATCAGTTAACACTCGATTGTGCAGAATTTTCTTTATCTTAAATAAAAACATCCATATTTATTTATAATAATTTATATTATTGATTAAGTTTGCACTTTATTCATTTTATTGTTTTCTATATAATTTCGAATAAACATACAAATATAAAATCTGCACACTAACTCCATCTGTTAACCATGAATTAATAATTCTCTGATGTTTAATCAGATGACTTAGCCAACATTGTGACGATTGGTCATTTTGCCGATATGCTGGCGTACAAATTAACGCGAGATCCAGCTGAGCAAACTAAACTCATTCCAATGTATGCATCACTAATGTATAGAGGGGACATCTCACGAATATCTTTTGCCAGTACGTACCTATTTAAAAGTGATACTCAAAAGCTTTGTTCCAACTTAATGTATCATTAGAGATGTTCTCTACAGACGTTGTAGGCGTAAGGTCATTCCTCGCTACAAACATTACAGACACCTTATTACATAATATACATAGTTTTATATATGTTTAAGGAACCGATTTAGGGTTGCCAGTTTTAGTTTTAACTCATAAATTTGGCTGATAAAATATAATAATAATAATTGGTCATTTTATTTGTTTTCTGCAGTGATTTTGTGAGTACAATCTCAGTCTCAGCTTTTGGAGACCAGATATGAACCAGTAACTTTTCGCTAACTCCTTCATTGGCTACATTGATTATATAAGTTGATACAAAGTAAAGGAAACTTATTCAATTAAATAAAACAAACTAAATAACCAAGCGACTACGTTAACCAAGTGAGCCACTGTAGACCTTCTCAATCACTGTTACAATACATCTTTCAATTTTCTATTAAGAAAAAAGTCGGTTCTCATTTTAAAATGGGCAATTTTGATAAATTTTGCTTCCACAATATCTACTTTATTACACTTTGATGATATAGTGTAGATAAACTTAACAAGCATAACAACTGTGAAAGTTAAATAACAACTTGCTTAGTGGTGACAACCCTATCCAAGCGTGAGTCAGAACATAACAGAATAACTCGTAGTATCTACACCTACTGTCGGGACCATTTAGATAATTGCTTAATCACTATGGACTTTGTAACACTATAAATATAGAAATGTGTTACGCTTGTCGGTCGTTTTGGTTAATTGTTATCTTGTTACAATAAAACGTAAAATATGAAAACATAATAATATTTACATCTAGATAAAACACAAAAAGGACTCGAAAATAGAATATTGGTCTGTTTCTCTGAAAATGAAAATTCGTCTATTTCCGAAACCCTAATACAACTCTAAAGGAACACATTTTCACTCTGCTTCTGATGAATAGAAAATATTATGCATATGATTTAAAAAAAATCTAAGAACGATTCGATTATTTGTAATTTTCGTTCGTAGACAAACAGAGTTGGCCCTCTGTAATCCTGACCTATTTCTCCGAAAACGAATCTTCTAATTTCGAAGTGCTAATACGACTTAAAAAGAAACTCTATTTTAGATAATTTATGATACAACAGAGGCAGGACCTGAGACTGCCTGGAATGAACAGATAATCTTTTCACTCCAAGGTTTATCTTGTATGTTTTAATTAACATATATTTTCGCCACAGAACACAGAGAAGAGATGTGTTCTATATTTTTTCCATTCCGAAGCTTTTCTATGCTAATGTTATAAAGACAAAAGATTTTATTGTTTGTTTCTTTGCATCGTATAGGCTCCCGAAACTAATGGATTGATGCCAAAACTTCTTTCATCTACAGGTACACCATACGCAATTGACATACAAACTATAATTTAAACGGTTGAAGTCGCAGGAAAACAGCTAATTAGCTATTATATATAATTGGATTAATCATGATTTCTCATCATCATTTTTGAAAAATATAACTCTATGATAGAATGAAACATTAATAGAATGAAATTCGTTCTAGTTAAGATCAATGTTACTTAGACAATGAATCGACAAATCGGAAATATGTAGTGAGATTAATGATTGCGCTTACGCATTAGATAGTTAGTCATTATCTGAGATGCATTGCGGGCGTATGATGAACAACGAGATTATATCGACATTCATTACTCACAATGCCTATTACAGTCCTTCCAATACAGACAGTTGTACAAACTTCCATTCAAATTTTTGACATTAGTTTAAAGCCACATTATCCATACAAAATTGCCATTCTCTAGATCTTAAAGGCGTCGTTAAACATTAATTAACGTTTGTGCAACTGACTGTAAGTTTTGAAATAGGAATCTAATGATGTAATTCTCTTATTTCCTCTTTTGTACCTAAATATTTCATTTTATCCTACAGGTTCCTTCTGATTAAACTGTAAAATGAATGTCATAGTCAATTTCATCATCACCAGCTCTTTTACGTCCCCGCTGCAGGGGCTCAGGCCCTCTTAAGGAGGATGTGACATGAACCTCCACGCTGGCCCATTGCAGATTGGAGGATATTAACGACTACATATGCACCCGGGACCAACGGCTTAACGTGCTCACCGAAGCACGGAGTAGTTCGCGATAGTATATTTTTGTCATCCATCCCGTGACCGACCTTTGCGAAAATTGGGCGACTCTAGAATTTCTAATATAAAAAGCTTCCTCTGGAATTTGTTACACATTTGCCGGGATCCGGGGTCTTGACGAGTAGACAACAAAAAGCAAAAAAAAACAAAAAGGCAACTTTATATAATAGAACTCAACCTAAAAGTCCAAAAAATTACAAAATTACCAAAATTATTAAAAAAGCATCACATCCCCTATTTTAAATATTGTCTTTTTATATTTTATTTTAATATAATGTCTTTTTCTTAAATATACACAATTGTTTGTTCGTAACATGCCATCTATCAAAAACAAGTAAGACCAGGGGCGTGTTTCAGGAGCTTTTACTTTCTCCACTGTATGTTTAGGCTCGCCTTTGCCAACAATAAACATACAACGCCTCTATATGTCAACATAGCAAATATTTTGCCATAGCCGCCATAGATTATACAGCATAGCGAATCAGCAAAGCTATAACACAATCAAGTTATGCCGTGTGGTGGGAAAAATTTTAATATACCATCACTGGGAAATTTTTTAATGAAATAAGTATGCTTAAAATATCCACGAGCCACCAGTACTCGAACTCACAACCCTTCGCAATCGGGGCAAAGCTCTAACCATTGAACTACCCAAGATTCGACAGGACTGATGAAATTTTCAAGCACTTGTTATTTTTCGCTGCATTTTCATCAAAGATCAGTATAATCCACCCAAACAGCCGAAAGAAATATTTTTACAAATATTCTAGAAAATATTCTTAAAGCTTTCCCCCAGCGGCTTCGCCCGCGTGGTCTTGTATTATAGATAAAAACCTTCCTTTGGAATCAGCCTATCTATGAGTGTTATACATAAAAACCTTCATTTTGAATCACCTTATCTATGAAAAAAAACCGCATCAAAATCCGTTCCGTAGTTTTAAAGATTTAAGCATACATAAGGATATATGGTCAGGAAAAGCGACTTTGTTTTATACTACATATGTAGTGATTAAAAATGTTTAAAAATCAACGAGCCCCACGTACTCTGAGATAAGACTGGGATCTATTTCCAGTATAGCATTCTGAATGCAAAATTGACCAAATGTAACATACCATCACTTTTTGTTACTTATATCATCTTTTATTGTAATACTAAATTTCATATATACTTATTAAAGTCACACACTCTCTGTTAATAAAAAAAATCGACATATCTATCCATATTATTAAGGTTACTTTGATTTTGAACACTAAGATAACCTTGGTATAACTCTTTAGTTTCTTTTTTAATTTTTAATCACTGATTTCATCACACTAATTTAATTTGAATGTTATGCATCCCACCACAGATCCCACTTATTGCGAGGCACATTATAGATGTATGAAACTATGGATTTAGTTTAATTTATAAACATTGTTCGACTTTACATCTTAAAAATTTTAGTAGTCTTTCATATATATTATAACAAAGACTATACAATGTATACATACTAATATCATAAGATGAACTGGACTGACTTTAAAACTATTTCACTTAGGGGAAGCTACATCATACGCGGGTGACATAGACTTTAATTTTCACGGAAGAAGTAGCGGGAAAACAGCTAGTGTAGAAATAAAATAAAACCTCGTGTATATTTTCATTGATAAAATAATTCCTTAAAATATAACATTGATGTGTTACATCAATCAAAACAAACAAATCTTGCCAAATGGTGACCCCAACAATTTCAGATAACGAAACACGCCATGTAGTTACAAAGAGTCAATTCTGAAGCCAAAATCGATAGTCAATCGGGTATATTTTAGTAAAATAATTTTTTTATATTGTATCGGGTCTATTTTTCAGATTTTCATGTTACAAGTACTTTAACTACTAAAGCGGGGAATTCACTAGCCATACATGCCCGCCATATAGGAGCGAAGTCCGACGGGCATGCCCGTCTAATGAATTCACCGCTTAAGTAGTATCTGAGTAATGTAAGATTTTGTCTAACGTTTATTTATCTTTTATTTCAGGTTCTCACAGCCAATCTCGGCACTCTACTCGACCTTTATGGCGTAGAAAAGGGTCTAGACCACTTCAGGTCTTCGCAAGAACTGAGCTTCGACGAGTTCCGTTACTACCTTCAACATGAGGTGTTCAGCTCCCTCCCTAAAGCTGTTACCTTGCACATAATCAGAGATTACGAGAAGAAAATCAATGAGGTGCGATTAACATAATAATTTCCGTATTTAAATACTTATATTTGTGTAAGATTGAATGCTTATATATTATATATTATACAGTCAACTGAACAAACACCATTACTAATAAGGAACTAACGTATATAACCGTTGTTTATTTACACATAACTCTGTTCATGTCATTACAATGTGACTTTCAGTTCGAGTAGAAAATGCAAAACACTATATAACTATACATAGCTTATATTTTGCATAAATATACAATAAGTATTAATAAAAAACATATCGCGTATAGTTTCAAATCAATCGCAAATTACTACTCCGAAATATTGCTGAGTAGTTATACCATTTTAATATTATAAAGGTAAAGTTTCTAACTTTGTTTGTTTGTAGGCGGTAATCTACGGAATGAAAAGTAAAAAAGGGGAAGTATAATAAATATGAAAACGATAAGAAAAATGCAAATTCAAATAAATTGAGTAACTATATTAATTTTAAAATTTGCAATTTCAAAATATAACTTCGTAAATATATTCTATTAACGATACTTATAATATTATAAGTATTGTAAGTATTTGATAATGCAGCGCGATAGTTTAAAAGTAAATGAACAAATTAATTGCGAACAAACATGTACTTAAGTTACGACGAACGCACGATAAACAATGATTATTATGGATTTGACAGTGTTACCAACTAAGTCATTTATCCCAAATTTATCCGCAAAGCGAAATATCGCCATAATATCGCTAAGATGTAATCTATGCCTAGAATCAAGGCTAGGGAGTTAGGTAGTCGCTCGCTATTTAAGTCGATGAGTTTAATAATTAGAGAAACAATCTCATACTAAAGCCATTTTAGTGGTTTGATTGCGTGTAACAATTAAACAATAAAGACAAGCGGATTAATCTTAATTTGTTAAAGCGTTGAAAAAAGACAAAAGAGGATCGTAGAGCTTTTTCTTTTTTACGATTGCTGTCATGGCTTCGAGAAGTTTTGAGGTTGCGAATGTATGCGATCTCTTTCAAGTTTGTCCGAAATCGAACATTTCATTTGTTCCATTCTTATGAAAATCAATAGATATTTGAAAAAAAGAAAACTTAGATTATTCACTACTTTTTGCTACAATGATGGAGTATTCAATTCAAGTACTGGCACTCCCTGCCATCCCATCTCAGAGTGAAATATATATTTCAGTATAGCATTGTAAATCCAACATTGATCAAATATAATATTTTTAAGTAAAAATGAGAATGCCTGAACATTGATGAAAATGCGCTCTGTAATAGCGACAAGTAACAAGTGCTTGAAATATTCGTCAGTCCCATTAGGTCTTGGGTAGCTCAGTGGTTAGAGCAGTCGCGCGGATTGCGAAAGGTCGTGGGTTCGATTCCCATCTCAGGATGCCAGAGACCAAGTGGATTTTTTTAAGCATTTTGTATTAATATGTTTCAGAATAGCATTGTGAATGCGAAATTAATCAAATATAAAAACAACCAATTTGATTTCTATAAAATTTGGGACCGCATCGGCCTTTTAAATTGTTGAATAAAAAAGCATTTTGAAAATAACCTCCTCTTTTTCGATTTTGAAGACTAAATCTCACACGCTTTGTATTTAAAATTGTATATAAAAAGGAAAATTTTGTACAAATTCCATTGGAAATTGCAGATAAAGTGTTTAGTCTTTAAAGATAACAATTTTTAAAATACGCCGATAGCAATTATATTACCATATCAACTACGGAACTACTTCAAGTGGCTCACCGACACGTATTTGGTCAGTTTTTTTTTTTATATAATCAAGTATGTAACCTTGTTTTTTATTAGAAAAATATCTTAATTCATCAACCAACGATTCGCACAGAATTTGCCAGACGTCAATACCCCAGTCAAAGTGTTTCTATCTATAATTGTATTAACAATAAATTAGACAAAAATATATATCCAATGTTGACATTTAAATGCAAAAAAATGTTAACTGAGTGGCTTAAGACACTTAACTATGAAGAAACTGAACAGATCTTGATCAGAATAGTATAGGATTTAAATTACTGATTTTTCTGACTCGATAGGCTAATAATCTGTTTAAACACAAATTAATTCATAAATGTATAAAACACACACACATATACACACACTCACACACACACACACACACACACACATATGCACGCACAAAGAGAGAGAGACAAACAAAGACACGCGCACGTACGCACGTAATACTCTCACTCACTTATTTATTCCGAGATTGTTACTGGTTTAGGCTAAGAGCGAGGCATCCCAACACAAGTATAATAATTACTCTCTGGGATTGCCTCAATAAATTAAAACACGTATGTATTTGGAAATAAAATCAATTTTTATTTTATTTTATTTTTTATTAGTCTTGTATTATTTATTCACTTCGCCGCGACAATGCATTGGTTGAAATAAAAATAATTGATGCCGTTAATATTTTATTGGATTATGCATTCAACTGAAACGGTTATTTATTTTTTTCACGTACTTTTTAATAAAGTATATCACTTGTAAAAATTATATACAAGTTATTATTAAGACCTCTGTCGCTGAGTGCCTTCCACGCCTGTTTCAAGGTGTTGCCAAGTCGCATCTCTGTGTTCCCAGGTTCGATTCCTAGTCGGATGAATGTAGAAAATGAATTTTTCTTATCTTGGGTTTAGGTGTTGTGGTCCTGTCGTTTACCATAACACAAGTGCTTAAAGGTCTTTGTGGTGGAGTATTATAATGTATATAAAATCCTGACTTAACGACTGAGCTTAAACCACTAGTTGTCGAGAATTGGAATTTGGAGGATACATTCGTCTTATTATGTAGAGGTATATTAAGAACGCATTTTTAAAAATTCTACCCCGAAGAGGGTTAAAGAGGATGAAAACGTTTGTGTAAACCTACTTTGTTTTTGGACCTATACCGAAAAATTGGTATTTGGCTATTATAAGATTCTGGAAAGGTAATTGGTTATATTTTATCCCGAAAACCAGCTCAAAGGGATTAAATGGTTGTGGAAGTTTTTATTGGGAATAAAAATGCTGCCATAGCATCAGCAAAAAGACCTGATGATCTTCAAATGACTGCAACGTTTTTATAAATCATAGTTAAGAATACTCTGGATTAAGTCACCATTATAACTAATAGAATTAACCCGTTTGGGAGCTACAATGCCATAGACAGACACACATACATGTCAAACTTATAACACCTCTCTTTTTATGTCGTGGATTTAAAACAGCCTCGAACTCGAAGTGGAGCGCAGGACCCCACTATATTGATAAAAGAAGAAAGTATAAAGTTATTTATTTCTTAAAACTCACACAACTTTTGCTGATATACAATACGATAATTAGTTTAACATTTTATATAACAAACTGAATAAAAAACTGTATATATACCCTATGAATCACTATCGCTGTAAAGAAACCCTAATAGACTGGCTAAAGAGACTTAATTAAAAAGACACAGAAAGAAAAATAAAATCAATTATAAATACATACTGTATTAACAAACTCTTAATTCGATAACACACACACATACACACTGGCAAATGCAACGCACTAGGTAGCTTAAGCAATAAGTAATAATGTCGACATTTTTTTGTAGTTGGTCTTTCTTTCTATATTTTGTAATAATATTTATATATGTGATTGGACTGACTGGAAGAGCGGAGCCTCCTGATATAAATATTACAGGTACTTAAAAGGAAGTACACCATTCTTTATTGTAAAATGTTAAACGAAAATAAAGTATTATTTATTTTACATTGATATATGTAATACTAGCTTTCGCCAGCGGCTTCGCCCGCGTGGACCTTAGAGAAATGTTTAGTGGGATAAAAAGTCCTATTATCGTATTATCTAAGTCAGCTAATACCCTATCTGTATACCAAATTTCATCAAAATCCATTTAGTAGTTTCGGCGTGATTGACGGACAAACATCCAAACAAAGAAAATTTCACATTTATAATATTAATAGGATAAAACATGATTTCATATCTTTTTAGGTGTGCTGGCTGGTGTGTCGGAAGAACTTAGTCGCTCGAGACAAACCGGTATTCAGCGATGATTCAGTCTTCAAATTATTCAGGATCTTTTGCCTCCTAGCAGATTTAGTGCAAGATGCTGAAGACTCTAAACATTATGTGGTATGGTTTTTGTCTATTAGATGCATACGATAATCATAATTACTTATTGATAATGGATTTGCTAATAGTTAATATCAACTTAATCTCTTACGGATTATTTATGTCGGGAGATAATAAACCTGCCTATCAAATAACAAGAGCAGGGGCGTAGCTACCGCCATATCTGCCGTTTCAATTGAACGGGGGCGTGCCCCCAACGTGCGTAAACAAAAATTAATAAAATCTTTCCAATTTTTATTTATTTCATAAATGACAATAGTCAAAAAAGCAGAAGAATATTTCTCAGTATAGCATTATGAACGCAAAATTGATCAATTTTTTTTAATTACCTATGAACTTCGATGGGACATGAACGCCTGTCAGACCTGTCACTATCGTCCATAGAGGCAGAAACTTTGGAAAAACCAACACCCATTTTCACTAACCTAGAACAAGGCATAGCTTAACTAGGAAACGCCTAATATTATGAATCGCGTAAGCAGGTTACTTTAATTTCGAATTAACATTTTATTATTTTGTCCCTTGACATATTTATGACCTGACATATAGTTCATAAAATGCGTAACGCAAGTCGCCGCATAACGAATATCATAACTTTAAACATTGCTTAATTTCATTAGGTGTAACGCATTTTTACCTTAGGCAATTTGTAAATATCTAGGCGACTCCTAAGTTTAGTGAAAACGTGCATAAGTCATCATCAGCTTTAAATAATTTAATAAATCAGTATGCCGAAAAAAGGCATGGGACTGTTCGTAAAAATTGGAAAGTAAGAGATAGATAATTATGATGAATAAATATTTCTTTTAAATTTATGTAAAAAAAAATTCTGTTATGAGAAATCTTAACCCTTATCCTTATGAAACCCGTGGCATTTTGCCGACGTGCCACCTTGTAGTTACGCCACTGGTTCTTTCCTTAAAGCCAGAATGAGAATACAATATTATTGTTTGTTATCATAAAGAGTATATATTAACACACAATTGCCACTTCATAAATATAAAAACTAACTCTAACTGGTGTCGTCACTAATTAAAATGTTCTCTGGCTGATTCAGCTCATTAAAGCATGTGTACGCCACATGTGGCCAAAGATTATCATACAACGGCATAGGTCATTGACATGCTATGGCTTGTTGACGAAACAAAAAGCGATTGTGTTAAGAAAATGGTCTCAATTCTGTTGTCCACTCTCTAAACAAACCGAAAAGAAAATATAATTCAACTTTCATCATGTTGTAGATTAACTGCTGTTATCTTGGAGCTTAGACTAAACCTTGATTTAGTCTAATTTGTTAAATGGAATCGTTACCACAATTTTTACCATCCATTACAATTACCATCGCCATTACAATACCATTTATCAAATTTTTACCATCTAAAAGTAATACGAAACATTTGCTGTAAGAGTAAGATGGATTAATTTTTAAGCTAATTTTGTTTTCGACATTTTTTCTATTATTGCAGGTCGTACTCCAACCATCAGAAGCTGGTATAGTAGCAGAACAGCTGGTTCACTGTTTGGGGCTCCGATGGGACGCGGCCGATTGGGAAGCCCTGGGTTCATCCATCGGCCACTTTAAGTGGGCAGCATTTTTAGCAGTTCTCGAAGCCAAATATTGTTGCGATCAGCAAATTCACTCTAAGGCATTAGTGGAGGCTGTAGATGAAGTATACGACGTATTCATTGAAGATATTATTAAAAAAGTAAGTTAAAAATAAGGTATATATAAATTAATATATATTTTTTCACTTTAACAAGAAATGTTTTTGATAATAGGCATTAAAGTTGAGGAATGGAAACTCGCTACGTCACAGCTATGTAGAAAATATATTGCTCTCTTAGTAGCCTTGACTATCAAATCTTTACTAAAATAGTATAAGCAAGCAACTAATATTGCTTTCAATTTTTACTTAGATATAAGTTAATTGTGCAAACAATTTGTCTCTTTAACTGGTGTTCTTCAGACAACAGTTATTAATTTGTTATCTACCTTTAAAGAAATAGTGGACACACATTGTCTATTAAATATTGTAACTGATTTAAGTACTATAATGTAACGACAGTTATGTGTCAAAATTAAGAGAAAAAAAAGTGTGTGACGTCATGCGACATTTCAACTCAATGTATCGCTGTAATTTAGTGATTACGTTAAAAAAGTAAAATAAAAATACGTGTTTAATGTTATTTAATAATCTACTCCGACGGACAAAGAAACAAAAATCAATCATATTTATTTTCATTGCTATTTTCGCTGCTTGCGAATATATTAGCGCGACATAAACAAGAGAAAGAAACATTTTTAGTTACTAATATTTTGTATTCTAGTGGTAATCATCATACAATTCTAAAAAGGCAGCAGATTTGAATAATAAAAATGTAGGATTAATAAATCTGTTTTCCTTTTTACTTACCGACTGCAGAGACTCAGGCCTCCTTAAAGAATGGATAAGTAAGATGGGCTATGACTCTCCACGCTGGCTCAATGTGGATAAGAAGATATTAACGACTGCAAATGCAGCTACGACCAACGGTGTAAGTTGCTTTCTGAAGCAAGGGGCAGCTCGAGATAATAATTTTTGGTCAACGATCCCGTGACCGACTCTCGAGAGTTGAATAACAGCTTATACACTACGCCATCGAGCTACATGCTACTAACCTCTTTGCCGTCTTTCAGGGTTACCTATTCAAAAAGGGCTATTTACTTCCGACGATGCGCGAATATTGGTGCGTGCTCCAGCCATGCGCACTGACTTACTACAAGAGTTCCTCCCAGAAGGAGCAGTGCGGTAGAATTGCTATCGACGAGTACTGTTCTGTCGAAGCGGCCGCTGGGGAGGGCAAGTTGCAGCGCTTTCAGCTCATCACGCCAGATAGAACCTTCGAATTCGGCACGCAGGATCACAAGTCAGTTTATGTTTAATTATATTAGTTTTTAGTTGATTTTTTTGTTTAAATAGAACGTCGATATTTACATTCGACTGGATTATATAAACACGAAAACTTAATAACAAATTCACATCATATGAAATTAGATCGTGTACAGTAAGAGTGCAAGGACAGTAGTACCTATCGTACCGCAAACTGTCACACACAAGTGCTTGCGTCTATGCTCAATAAATTATATTAGATCCGCCAAAATTTAAAATGGGCTTCTTTTTCCTCTCTCTTTTATTCATACAGTTCTCTATGTCAAACTTAAAATGAATTCATTAGACTGGTGGGAACATATTTACACAAAATACGCCACCTACTTCCGTGTAAGTAACTAGGATATCCATTTAAAAAATACATTTGAGTTACATGCGAAATTGTACAGATCCCATTTACAACGTTCATTAGCTTAATGTATGTTAAGAAATATAGCGAGGTAAGTAATGGAGATCTCCTGAAGATAGTCTTTGCAAATACCAAAAGTCAAATAATTAAAACCACAAAGAATTTTACTCTGTATTAACGTTATAGACAGAACCAATTTTGACGACTACGAGGGTCAAACTGAAAGTTCTTAGAAAATCAAAAACTGATTACATTAGCCAGTTATTAGTTTTATTATATCTTTTCAAAATATTGTCCATTCACGTCAATACACCGCTGCATGCGATGGAACCACTGGGAAAAGCACTTTGCCCACTCGTCCTTAGGGGTCTCTTCAATGGCATCGCGATACGCAGCCACCGCTTCTTCAGCATTCATAAACCGCTTTCCTTTAAGTTTTTCTTTAATTTTTGGAAATAAATAAAAATCACAAGGCGCGAGGTCGGGGCTATTCGGCGGGTGACCCAGTAATTCAACGTTTGATGTCGCCAAATAGTCGATCGTTCGCTTGGCGGTGTGCGACGAGGCGTTGTCGTGGTGAAGGAGGATCCTACTGCGAGGTCGTTTCTCTCGAACTTTTTCCAAGACAAGTGGCAAACAATTGGTAGTGTACCATTCTGCAGAAACTGTTTTTTGATCCTCTAACACAATTGTTGCAAAATGACCTATCCTTCCAAAGAACGAGGCCACCATTTTTTTTCCCGCACTTCGATCTCTCTTCACTTTAGTTGGCAACTCCTCGAAAGGAAACACCCACTGAGCAGATTGTCTTTTGATTTTAGGATCATAACAGTAAATCCAGCTTTCGTCACCTGTTAGTATGTCGAACACAGCATTTGAGTCACCTCCGTTAAATCTTTCAATCATTTTACGACACCAATCCACACGATGGAGTTTTTGAGCCTCAGTCAAATTATGAGGTATCCATCGGGCGCAAAGCTTCCTGACCGCTAAATGTTCGTGGAGGATTTTGTGCACTTGACTCATACCGATGCCTAAGCTTGTCCGAATCTGTTGATAGGTCACTCTTTTGTCAGTCTCTATCATACGCCGCACAACACAGATGTTATCTTCAGTCGTCGCCGTAGAAGGCCGTCCCTCACGTAAATCATCAGTGAGATTAGTGCGACCACGTTTAAACTCATTAAACCAGTTGTAAACAGTCGCACGAGATGGGGCTTCATCGTGAAAGGCCAATCGTAGTCTATCATAACTTTCTTGTTGACTTAAATGACATCGAAAGTCATAAAAAATCATTGCACGAAAATTTTCTCGTGTTAAATTCATGATGACGTGACACAGACAATTTTCAATTTGCCGCCAAATCGTAAAACAAATGACAAATGAATGAAATATATACTCAGTAATATTGGCAAAGAGTTATATTTTCAAATTTTAGAATTATTTTTTTATTATATTGTTTATAAGTGGCCAGTTCTAAGAACTTTCAGTTTGACCCTCGTATGAACTAACTACACTATGAACAAGTACCAATTCTGCTACTTTTTTATGTAATTATAGCATCTGAATAAAATCTCAACTAGTAGCATTTAGTCATTGTCCTAGTACTATTTACCAGAAGTCCAATATTATTAGTGCAATGTCTATCTCATAAATATTATTTTGTGAACTCGTAACGAACGTAACAAAAACTGTGTCATAAAATGTTATAATTGAAGCGCTATTGACTTAATATACTATTACCTATAATCACACTTTTATGCTTATTATATATATAATATTGCTTAAATTAATTATAAAAAGACAAATATTTTATACTCGTCACATACATGACCGCAAACAGCGCGTGACGTCACGCCCCTCATATATCAGAACTTTTTTTATATGTAGGTATAACATATCTCATTTAGATACGTATAAAAAGAAATGATAAAAGTTGCCCACACTATTATGTTAACATTAGCAGAATTTCCCTACAGGTAAAATTGATTTAATGATTTTTCAGGAGTCGCCTACAATGGATATCGGCGTTACGTCAAGCGGCGCTGGTCTCAGGCGGCGCGGAAGGGTACCAGCGGAGGGCGCGCGCGGGGAGGCGCGGGGCGGGGGCGCGACGGGAGCGGGAGGTGCGCGAGACCAAGGCTCGGCTACAACACGAGGTGCGCGCCAGGCTGGCGGCCGAGGCGCAAGCACAGGTCATCTATTTTTTTAGTAGGATAATGCTTTATGCACTATCCTGCCGCTTGAAAGGCTGCAGGGGGTGTGTGGAACTCTCCATCCGCACAGACCCACTCGCCTCCAATCCCTCCGTGCACCCTCCCTATTTTGGGGGAAGGCCTGGAATCCAGTAGGAAGTGCTCCACACCAACCACAGGTGACCTAACCACTGTTACATATTCCAACAAAAAGTTACTCCTTGTTCATGACGCTTGCAACAGCGCCGAAATATCGAAAATTCAATTAAAACAAGGTAATTGGTAGCAATCCCGTAAAAAATCTACCATTCTATTGTAACAAAGCCAAGTAGCTATAGGGCAATGATTGTTACATCTAGAAGGAAAAGTTTGATATATTGTATTCAAAAGAGGAATGGAAGACATGTTTCATATCCACCTCGGAACACGTACTGGTTAAAAAAGAAACTCTTTTCCTCTCGGTCTCATCGACCATAAAAAAACCCAGTGTCGCTTGCTGTACTTACGGAAATTATTCGGAGTAACAGTAAAAATAACAATGTCATAGGGAAACCGATATGATCAAGGGGCTATATTATTTCCCGATTTCTGTCTCACGAAACGAAATTATTGAAAATATCAGGAATTCTTTCCAGGAATTTCGAAATTAAGCTAAGAAATACAATTCTAATAAAAAGTTTTACATGTACAGGAATTAGCAGAAATGGCTGAGCAAGATAATAAAAAGTTAGAAGAACTCAAAAACACACAAGTAGAATTAGAAAAACTACTCCAAGAAGAAACTCAAGCTAAAAGGGATGAAGAAATTGTAAGAGCTCTGCAGGCAAGGTAATTGTAACTAAATATATGTTATAGAACATGTGAAGTCTATCATTAACTTTTCATTCACTTCATTTTCATATCATGCTTTTAGGGTTTTAGCAGAGGAATGGGAAAGACGGGAAGAACTTGAAAGACTGCAAGAAGAACAAAATAGGATGTTAGAAGAGGAACGGTTGAAACGAAAACAGTTTGAAATATTGCAAGCTGAAAAGGAAACGCAGTTTAGAGGTAATTCATTATTTTACTCATTAATTTACTTTTCGTGTGATGATTAGTAGTTTGCAATTTCTAGAAATTTCTACGGCAAATCAAGGCAATAAATAAATTGCCAAGATATTTTTTTGTATTGCCATAATGATACATAATTATTTTTTATAGAAGCCCAAAAGCGCCTAAGGGAGCTAGAACAAGAAAAACAGAGATTGGACGAAGAGTTAAAGGCTGCGCAAGAGAAAATCACTAAAACAGAAGTAACGGCACAAGCTTTACATGTACAACTAAGGGTAGGTATTAAAGAGAATTTTAACACTACTTTTTAGTAGGTATAATCAGGAGCTTGAGGCACTCTTTTCTGGTTTTCCTTTTTTCTTCTTTCCAGAGTTACAAAAAGAGAGATATAATACTCTTTTGAGCAAATATCCATATCAATAGAAATTAAATGCTTATGCTATGAAAAAGTTACTTGAACATTGCTTTTTGACCTATGTCCTAACGATAAGTCCGCAGGGGAAAGTCCTACAAAACCTTGCGTAACGCATGTCCCTTTGTAAAAAAAGGTATCATTAGCATATGAACTATCAAATGCGAAACTAATTGCATTTATTTAAATGAAAGTTAATATATTTGGAAAGCGCCACCTACCTACCTACCAGTAAAGAGAAATATTTACGAAAAACGGAAATTTGACCTTTGTACTCGACATGAATTTGAAGTCGCTACCATACTTTTCAACCTGCTAAATATTATCAAACCACCTTTAGCTATGAAGAATATAGATAGATCATGTCTTTGATACCTAAACCTTCCACAGGACATGGCCCCGGGATTGAGAAACGGTGAGAGAGCAAGGCGTGCTATCTCTTTCGTGCCAACTACGAAGAGCTCGTCGGACACACTCATCGATGTCAGAGCAATCAGACACCTAAAAATTTTAGACGACGATGAGAAAATATGAAATATCAACAAACATATTGAAAGGAAGCCAAGATTTGATTTCGATGTGAAAGAAGAATAAGACTCTAATAACTGTTGTCACCTTTCACTTCTAGTCTTAATATCTCAATATATAAGTCGAGATAGGTATTGGGTTTTATTTAATTCAAAATTATAGCTTTGTAGATTCGACTAAATGCGAAATGTTATTAAGCAACTTAAGTTACATACTAAAATTACTAATGCTGTTTCATAAAACTAGCTTTGTGTCAGCGGCTTCACCTGCATGGTCTCTAGGAATAAAGAGTAGCTTATATATTCATCCAGGCTGAAAATTATCTGTGTATCAAGTTTAATCAAAATTCATTCAGTAGTTTTTGCATTAAATAGTAAGAAAGTCAATTACAAAATATTCTTTATCAAGCTTAAAAATACTTAAGTTTACGTACTTCCCAAAAATCATCACAAACTTTCGCATCATTAATATTATTAGTAAGCAGGATGAAACCTATTTAATTAATTAACGACATAATTAAAAATAATATATCCAAGAGCAGTCTATTAAAGCGGTACTGTTTGTTATATTTCAATACTTTAAACTATATACCATACTCTGTTATATTGAATTCAATAAATCGAGTATATGTAATTATTTCAAAACCACATTGCTTACAAAAAAATCAAATCAAAACAAAAAAAAATCTTGTTTATAAACATTCGTATCAATCACAAATAGCATAGTAGCTCGGTAGCGTAGAGGATAAGCGCCGCGGCCCGCGATCGTTGTTGTTAAGCAACTTTCGCAAGGGTCAGTCACGGGATTGGTGACCAAAAAATTATTAACTCGAGTTGGTCTCCTGGTATTCCGTTGGTCCCGGCTGCATGTGCTGTCGTTAATACCCTCCAATCCGCATTGGGCCAGCGTGGAGGGTTATGGCCCATCTTCCTTAACCATCCATAAGGAAGGCCTGAGCCCCTGCAGTGGGGACGTAAAAGGGCTGATGATGATGATGATGATGATGATGACATAAAACAAAAATAGTAAAAGAAGATAAATGAAAAATCTAATGTTTCTAAAAAGAGTTATTGTATTGCATTGTATAATTGTAAATACGCACTATAAACACTAAATAATAAACATAAAATCAAATGTAAAATATATAATATAATTATTTCTTGCCACCTTTCTTGTCCGCGGCGGCAGCAGCCGCAGCGACCGCTTGCATCTTCTTTTGAAGTTTTTTCAACTGCAAAATTGACCAATGATATTATTTAGTAAATGTTAAAACCAAAAAGCATACGACTGTGATTGAGGTTAAATAACATTGCTTTGAGTCAATAGGTACAACAATACAATTTTTATTTTTTCTAAAAGTACCATTTCCTGAACAATATTATTAAATTATAATTATAGCGTAGTTAACGTATAAAGTAGTTAACTGACAGATATCATTGGATATAATAGTATGATAGGAATGAGGTAGGAACGGATTAGAGACATTTGAACTAATGGGGCAAGGCAAGGATATTCTTACGCTTTCTTCTTTCCTTTTTTCCCCTTTCCTTTTTGCTGCATATCAGAAGAAAATCGTAACGTTAATAATATATAGATATTTTTTTTATCATGAACACATCATAAGTCTTTTATATATTTCTTAAGTCCTAAAACCACATTATATATAGGTATGATCCCACACAGATAAAATAGAAAAGTGGTTTTTATGATGTCGTCAATATCTAAGGTCTTGTATTCTCGGTTAGGTAAATATTGAAAATGAATTGTATTTTGCCTAGTCTGTCTGCTAAATTATTAAGACACCTTTCTTAGTTCGCATCTCCATAACACAATAAATTCAGCTTATTTTGCTTAGGATCATATAATAGTGTCTAGAATAGAGGATAATATTTATATTATTATCAAGAAGATAATACATACTCTCTTTTTCTCAGCCCTGTTCGCCAGGACTTCCCGCCAGGCGTTTTGAATCACACGTGCAGCATGTTCCATAAGGAACTTGTTCATCTTTTCTGTCATCTCCTGGTGATACTCTTCTTCGCGTTCCGCCATTAGAGGAATATACTCCTTATCTTGTTCCGCTAATTGCTCCTGCATTTACAGTATTAAACAAACATAAGATTTTGGCAAAGGGTAGAAAAGTATTAAAATGCAGAGTCCAATATCCAGCACAATTTACAGTGCAACGTGCTTTAGAATTAGTGACGCAGCTATTACCTCTAACTTTTCGCACTTCTGCACTTCATCGTCGTATTTTTCCGTAAACTCATCCAGTTCAACCTGCTTGTCGCCCATCTCTATATCATACTTCTGCAGCCACGACATCAGCTGTGTCTCCACTTTGAATCTGAAAAAAGAATGCCAAAAAAAAACTTTGTTTACAAAGTCAAAAATAGCGTTACTCCATCATTGACGATGTCTCATACAGTCTGTATGTATTCTGGCAGCAGCAGAATTGAAATTAATGTAGTACCTACTTTTTCATAAAATTTATAAATCCTTAGTTACCTCCGTGCTCTTTGGTTTTTCTCTTCAATGAGGTGTTGCTTCAACAAAGTCTCATAGCCCTCACGGGATTCGATCTCCTCCTCTTTCAACATTTCACTTTTCACAGCGTGCGCACGCGACGCCAACACCATCTGCCGGTCTGAGTCCAAACTGAAATAGTATAATATCAATTTAAAAAATGATCTCATTCGAATAATCGAATGAAGATGCAACTGTGAAATCTGACTGTATTCTTCGTCCATTGAAAGTACACTTCACGAAATAAAATTTCATATAACGTAAGTTTGACTATAGCAGGTACATTCTGCAGAAGGTCAGATTACCTCAATAGATCTCGGCAGTTTATTTTAAAATCCACCCTTAAGACTTTTGTAAGGAAGTAGTTTTTGATAGTTTTGTATGCTTTTGATAGTAACTATGTGCCATAAGACTAAACGCTAGAGTCAGCTCTATCCATGACCGAATGAACAAGGCCAAACTGAAATGTATACTTGTATGTATCATGTAAGTATTAATTCAAGTCACTGGGTCACTGCAGATCTCAGGGATAACATCGATATGGAGAGGGAACGAAGGTCGCTTGCTGTGCGATGTAATATGCTGGCCCGAAGGTTTGCACGATGTACGAATGCAGTAAAGATAACGCTGTTCAAAGCTTACTGCCAATCTTTCTACACGTGCAGCCTTTGGACTAGCTATACGCAGCGAGCATACAACGACCTTCGTGTCCAATATAACAACGCACTCAGGATACTGTTGAAACTGTCATGGCGTTGTAGCGCGTCCGGAATGTTTACTGAGGCACACACAGACGATTTCTTCGCCATTTTAAGGAAAAGGTCCGCGTCCATGGTCACCAGGCTTCGCTCCAGTACCAACAGTCTCCTGAGTGTGTTCATAGATCGGTGGGACACACCTTTGCTGCGACACTGGCTGATGGTCCACATATGTTAATTTTGTCGCATTTTTATTTTCATTCATGTTTCTCTGTACTAACCCTAGTATATAAGTATCCAATGTTTACTAACAACAATATGGGACCTGGTTTTCTGAAATAAACGATTTATTATTATTATTATATTTATAATTTACTCTTCCCAACCCCTCAACGATTCGAGGGGTGGGAGGATTCCCCCTGGCAGAGGAGGCCAGACGGCCGGGGGTCAGGGCGACAAAGAGAGAAAACGGCGGACGATCCTTGCGTTATCGAGCAAGATCGCCCGCTGGAGCCTCGCAATCATTGGTCCGTCACGGAGTCCCAACCTCTTCAGATGGTCGTGAAGAGAAGTTGGGACTAGGCCATTCGTTGACACTACGACTGGGATGATCTCAGTGGATGACACTCGCCACATATCGGTAACCTCGTGCGCCAGGTTCAGATATTTAAGTTTTTTATCTGATTCGGCTTTCACGAGGTTTTCATCGAATGGGACGGTGACATCCACTACGAACACCCGAGATTCCGCCCGGTCCATCAGTACGATATCAGGCTTGTTCGCAGGAACAGTCCTGTCCGTAATGATGGACCGGTCCCAGTACAATCGAGCGCGGTCGTTTTCAAGAACTGGCTCCGGCACATACTTATAGTACGGCACCTTTTCGCCTATGAGGCCGTATTTGAAGGCTAGTTCGAGATGGAGTATTTTGGCTGCTTGGTCATGCCTGTTCAAATACTCGGTATTAGCCAGTACAGGACAACCGGAAGTAATATGCCTGAGTGACTCACCGGGCTGGTGACAGGCTCTACAAACGTCCTCTGTCCCATCCTTCAGGATATACTTCCGGTAGTTTCGGGTCATAATGACCTGGTCCTGTATTGCACAGACAAAACCTTCGGTTTCCCCAAAGAGGTCCCCGAAGCGCAGCCAATGCACGGAGGCTCTCGGATCCACGTGACGCTCGTGTAGCGCCTTATAGAATCTACCGTGCAACTCCTTCTCCCTCCAAACGGCCTCTCGGTCAGTGGTGCTAAGTACTGCCGGTTCTCGCCATTCCTCGGTGGCCAAAGAGAGAGGGGTTAGTCCTACATCACATGCTTTGACATCTCTATGCAACTCACTTGATTCCGCTTTCGCCAGGAAGTAATTACGGAGACTATGTATCTCGCGGTTGTGCAGGGTTTTCGCACTGAGCAGCCCACGACCGCCACTCTTCCTCGGGCTATACAGCCTCATCACTGACGATCTCAGGTGGTGCATCCTATGGAGTGTCAAAGTTGTGCGGACTTTCCGATCCAGGGCGTCCAATTCGGTCTGAGTCCATCTGAGTATGCCAAAGGTGTACATTAGGACTGGCATGACCCAACCGTTGATGGCCCTGACTTTGTTGACGCCTGACTGGTAGCTTTCAAGCACCTTAGTCAGGCGTCCCAAAAAGGCCTCCTTAACGGATTGTTTCACGTCCGCCATATGCACACCCAGATTCTGTGACATACCCAGATACCGGTATGTATCAGTTTCGGAGAGGGTACGGATGGTGGATCCATCCGGTAGGTCCACTTGGGTGGAATCACTTATCCGACCTCTATCCACATGGATAACCGCACACTTGTCCAGCCCAAACTCCATGCTGATGGAGCTACTGAAATCCTTTGTGATTTTCAGCAGCTCCGCCAGCCTCTGAGCATTTGGAGCAAGCAACTTGAGATCATCCATGTAGAAGAGGTGAGATATTTTGAACAATCCTCTCTTCAACTGAAAACCTGTCCCTGGTTTATCCAGCAAAGTGCTGAGCGGATTTAGGGCCAGGCAAAACCAAAGTGGACTCAGACAATCGCCCTGGAATATACCCCTCTCAATCTTTATTCGGTCTTCCGCATCCGACAGCTGCACCCCGAACAGACTAAGCTGCGTACTCCACTGCCCCATACAGGTCTCGAGGAAGTTTCGAACTGTACTATCGATCTTGTACAGCTCGAGGACCCTCTTCAACCACGTATGGGGAACCGAGTCAAACGCTTTTTTGTAGTCTATCCAGGCTGCAGAGAAGTTGCGTCGGTTGCGTTTGACCTGTTGGGCCACGACCGCATCGATCAGGAGAAGCTCCTTTGAACCGCGGCTCCCGCCCCTGCATCCATTCTGAGTGTCCACCATGATATGATTGTGCTCAACGTGAGCATCAATCTTAGCCTTCAGAATGAATGTCAGTGCTTTGTAGGTGGTACACAAGCACGTTATGGGGCGGTATTGTGACGGATCCGCGGTATTGGTGGACTTTGGAGCTAAGTTGTTAAGAAGTTTGGGAGACTTCGCTGTTCTAGGGCGTCTTGGAATTGGCGGGCCAGGAATGCGTGGCATGAGCGGAAACTCTTCAACCAGTAGTGGTGCAGTCCGTCAATCCCTGGAGTTTTCCAGTTCGGAGCTTTACGGACCGCAGCCAACACGTCATCCGACTCTATGGTAATGGGGTTCATCGCATCTATCGATGCACACGCTTCCTCTATAGGCGCCATCCATTCGCCCTCTATGTGCTCCACAGGCCGGGACCAGATGTTCCGCCAAAAGGCAATGACATCTGTGACATTCGGTCCTTGGCCAGTGGAGGGGCCAGCTCGTGTCTCCCATGTACGGTAAAACTTCTTTTGGTCACTCCCAAAGAGACGATTCTGGCGAAACCTTGCCCCTCTCTCGGAGTACCGCCGTATCCGACTTCCCCAAGCCGCAATTTTCTGCTTCAGGTCATCGATGCGCTCCGACACTTTTCGCATTAAGGCGGGGTCTGCAAGACTGAAATCTATCCCCGCCATTGCCATATGTACGAAACGCATCACCCTCGGCCTCGTATTGCCTGACCTGAAACTAATCAGTTTGCCGATGCTGACTCTGGTCTCAGCAATACGTTTCTCAATCCTCTTACGCCACGCCGGAGTCTCGCTGTGCCGGGCATTGGTATGCCGTTCAGCTCTCGAATGAATCGACAGACCGCCAATGCGGCGCCAAATAGGATCGAGTTGGTATCACTGAGACTGCCGCTTTCTTCCAAGTATGGAAGAAGCATTTGGCTTACTGCCTCAACGACATCCCGATTTTTACGACTTAGGGGTATCCTCGGGATCTTCGGCCTCTCCTCAAGTGGAAGCTCGCGAAATTCGAGAATCGCCTCTTCAAGTAACCCCCTGATCTGCTCTAAATTCTGGGCGGTTGCGTCGTCTACCCTTCCCGTCTCATCAGGAGCAGGACTGGCCACTGTAGCATTGGGGTCGCATATGGTGCTGCGCGCAATGCTACTCCGCCTTCTGCTCTGCCTTCTGCTCTGCCTTCTGCTACCGGGACTCATAGACGACACAACCTCGAGTCGTAGTTGACCGAATTCTGCTGGAGTAAAGATTTCTCTCCGAAGAATAAAGCGAACTCGATCTGCCAAATTTTGCGCCGTAACGGACAGCGAAGGCTCCAGGGTATGAAACGCAGCAAGCAACCTTGCCCGATAACCCGTTCCGCCGACACCTGTCTCTGTCGCCCTGTAGTACGCGCGCATGATGTTTTCATTTTGTGGAGTAGTCCACCTCATGCGGCGTACTCCACCAGCGGCGGGGACCGATTGCTGGGTCTGTGAAGACCCTGCCGGACCCAAGCCAGCTGGTGGTGATGGTGGAGTGGGCCGGCGAGATGGTCGTGCCAGCCCTCGGGGTTGGCTGGCTCGCATTCTGCTCGACCCGGCGCCAGCTCCGGGCGAGCCCTGGCGACCCCCAGGCAGCGGCCCTATACGCGCTCTATTTACTCCACTCATCATAGTACTTAAGTAGGCTTGATACATCAGGGGTCGCCCAATTCCCTGATGGGTCCGTTAAGATAGATTGCACCCACAATGACGGCAGATGGAAAAGAAGCACGGACCAACACTTCTCGCCTATGAGTAACATTTTAGGTGCGGACTAATTGCACTGATACGGCAAATCCTCTCACTAAACTCGCCGCATCAGTGGGCGATGGGGTCGTCACATCCCTACGCCCTTTATTATTATTATTATTATTATTATTATTATATTATTATTTAAATATATTTATAATTTACTCTTCCCGACCCCTCGACGATTCGAGGGGGGGGAGGATTCCCCCCGGCAGAGGAGGCCAGACGGCCGGGGGTCAGGGCGACAAAGAGAGAAAACGGCGGACGATCCTTGCGTTATCGAGCAAGATCGCCCGCTGGAGCCTCGCAATCATTGGTCCGTCACGGAGTCCCAACCTCTTCAGATGGTCGTGAAGAGAAGTCGGGACTAGGCCATTCGTTGACACTACGACTGGGATGATCTCAGTGGATGACACTCGCCACATATCGGTAACCTCGTGCGCCAGGTTCAGATATTTAAGTTTTTTATCTGATTCGGCTTTCACGAGGTTTTCATCGAATGGGACGGTGACATCCACTAAGAACACCCGAGATTCCGCCCGGTCCATCAGTACGATATCAGGCTTGTTCGCAGGAACAGTCCTGTCCGTAATGACGGACCGGTCCCAGTATAATCGAGCGCGGTCATTTTCAAGAACTGGCTCCGGCACATACTTATAGTACGGCACCTTTTCGCCTATGAGGCCGTATTTGAAGGCTAGCTCGAGATGGAGTATTTTGGCTGCTTGGTCATGTCTGTGCAAATACTCGGTATTAGCCAGTACAGGACAACCGGAAGTAATATGCCTGAGTGACTCACCGGGCTGGTGACAGGCTCTACAAACATCCTCTGTCCCATCCTTCAGGATATACTTCCGGTAGTTTCGGGTCATAATGACCTGGTCCTGTATTGCACAGACAAAACCTTCGGTTTCCCCAAAGAGGTCCCCGAAGCGCAGCCAATGCACGGAGGTTCTCGGATCCACATGACGCTCGTGTAGCGCCTTGTAGAACCTACCGTGCAACTCCTTCTCCCTCCAAACAGCCTCTCGGTCAGTGGTGCTAAGTACTGCCGGTTCTCGCCATTCCTCGGTGGCCAAAGAGAGAGGGGTTAGTCCTACATCACATGCTTTGACATCTCTATGCAACTCACTGGATTCCGCTTTCGCCAGGAAGTAGTTACGGAGACTGTGTATCTCGCGGTTGTGCAGGGTTTTCGCACTGAGCAGCCCACGACCGCCACTCTTCCTCGGGCTATACAGCCTCATCACTGACGATCTCGGGTGGTGCATCCTATGGAGTGTCAAAGTTGTGCGGACTTTCCGATCCAGGGCGTCCAATTCGGTCTGAGTCCATCTGAGTATGCCAAAGGTGTACATTAGGACTGGCATGACCCAACCATTAATGGCCCTGACTTTGTTGACGCTTGACAGGTAGCTTTCAAGTACCTTAGTTAGGCGTCCCAAAAAGGCCTCCTTAACGGATTGTTTCACGTCCGCCATATGCACACCTAGATTTTGTGACATACCCAGATACCGGTATGTATCAGTTTCGGAGAGGGTACGGATGGTGGATCCATCCGGTAGGTCCACTTGGGTGGAATCACTTATCCGACCTCTATCCACATGGATAACCGCACACTTGTCCAGCCCAAACTCCATGCTGATGGAGCTACTGAAATCCTTTGTGATTTTCAGCAACTCCGCCAGCCTCTGAGCATTCGGGGCAAGCAACTTGAGATCATCCATGTAGAAGAGGTGAGATATTTTGAACAATCCTCTCTTCAACTGAAAACCCGTCCCTGGTTTATCCAGCAAAGTGCTAAGCGGATTTAGGGACAGGCAAAACCAAAGTGGACTCAGACAATCGCCCTGGAATATACCCCTCTTAATTTTTATTCGGTCTTCCGCATCCGACAGCTGCACCCCGAACAGACTAAGCTGCGTACTCCACTGCCCCATACAGGTCTCGAGGAAGTTTCGAACTGTACTATCGATCTTGTACAGCTCGAGGACCCTCTTCAACCACGTGTGGGGAACCGAGTCAAACGCTTTTTTATAGTCTATCCAGGCTGCAGAGAAGTTGCGTCGGTTGCGTTTGACCTGTTGGGCCACGACCGCATCGATCAGGAGAAGCTCCTTTGAACCGCGGCTCCCGCCCCTGCATCCATTCTGAGTGTCCACCATGATATGATTTTGCTCAACGTGAGCATCAATCTTAGCCTTCAGAATGGATGTCAGTGCTTTGTAGGTGGTACACAAGCACGTTATGGGGCGGTATTGTGATGGATCCGCGGTATTGGTGGACTTTGGAGCTAAGTGAGTGACCCCAGTTGTTAAGAAGTTTGGGAGACTTTGCTGTTCTAGGGCGTCTTGGAATTGGCGTGCCAGGAATGCGTGGCATGAGCGGAAACTCTTCAACCAGTAGTGGTGCAGTCCGTCAATCCCTGGAGTTTTCCAGTTCGGAGCTTTACGGACCGCAGCCAACACGTCATCCGACTATTATTATTATTATTATTATTATTATTATTATTATCACTATTATTATTATTATTAATAGCCAGAGCTATTGCAACACCGGCCGATTTTTAGGATCCATTGCCGTCCACCCAGACTGCCTGCGAGTGCAGTTTTTTAAGGGAAAATGATATCAATCTATTTGATCGTGTAATGTTACCCATCAATTTCTCAATCTACATCGAATACAATCTTGAACTAATACCACATTGATCCACTAACGGTCGTTTTCTAATCTACAATAAAGATTTTAATCGACTACTGTACGTAATTTTGTTTTAGAGTATTAAGCAGCATTATCTCTGACATCTACCGTAACAAACGCAAACATACACTGTCTTCAAGGTGTGGTAATATCCACAACGTAAAATCAAACAAATTTTATCGAGAACCTACCTCACTCTGCACCCTGAGACAAGTACTGAAGGATTTCCAACAGTGAATCGTCCATGTTAGGTTCCCTACAGATGGTCACTTCTGTTTTGAAATATTTTTGGTGATATCGATCATTTGATTTTATTTACAGATCTTCGCATTCCTGAGTAGATTTTACAAAGAAATTTCGATACCTTTTTATTGCTTTCAAAGTCAATTTTAGCCGATATAAGAGGCTCATATATAGCAACCAAGTCGCGCTTACGCTGATGTTGACGCTTATAATCATTGCCAATCCTCGTCGAACGCGCCAAAGGAGATGGAAAAAAATAATTTTAGAATTATTTATACGAAAGCATACGTATAAACGTTTACTCATGTCGCCTGTCATTTGCTTGCAAAGTGTAGATAAAATTCGTTTCTATCCGCTTTTGTTCTGATTGATGAAGACCAATCCGAACCAAGCAGTATCATAACTATATAACACATATAAACACTACTCACATTTTCTTTTTCAACTTTATGGAGGCGTCTTGATTGAGTACCATAAGTTCATATTCAAGTTTCTTGATGATGTCTCTCTTTAACGCCATCGTCTCTTCAAACCTTTCGTTTTCCTCCTTTAAAGATGTCGTGTATTCTGTTAAAATATAACTTAATTCAAGTTAAAATATAAATGAATAAACATTATACAATATCACATACATCGCTCAGATTCCAAGATTCCCAGGAAAATCTGCAACAACGAGGGTAACACAACAACTAAACCTGAGACAATATAGAAAAGTTCATTTATTAGTTTGACCCGACCAGGAATTGAACTATGGACTTCATAGATGGTGACAACTTGAAGCCAGCGTACTTAACACGTCCGCCTAATAGTCACTGATTTACAATCGTTTAGTAGATTCGGAGAAAATAATCTAGGACAGACGAACACTAGAAAAAACTAACTCGCGAGTAATCCTAGAATAGAACCTTAATTATTAATAACAATTTATCTGTGTAGTCTCCGCTTATATTAACCATTTATTTTCGTGATAAGTTTTTCATTAGAAGCCTCTAGTTTCCTGGTGTTGATCTTGATTGCCAGCTCCTCCGCCGCGGTAGTGTGTAGCTGCCTCACCATCAATTCACGGAACTGCTGCAAAGTCTTCAAGTAGCCCAAGCCGGAACTGCCGCATATTTTATTCTGCGCGATATACAGAAAAGAATGCTCGAAGTATCTAAAGACACCAAAAGGGAACCGCCTAAGTCTCTAGCCATATGATACCACATCTTAACAACGTTATGTCGATCTCCTTAACATGTCCTTTGTACAACGACAAACAAATGACAAACAGTCAGTTGCACAAAAGTCCATTAAAATCTCGTTAGTTTGAAGCGACATTACCCATAAAAATTTGACATTCCTTAGAACTCAAAGGCGTCATTAAACCTTAATGGACATTTGTGCAACTGAAAGTCTGTTGATAATGGATTTGACAGCAATTTTACCAATCATTTCTCCACCAAAATTCATGTCAAAGTAGTAAAATAAAACAATATATAGTCGTAATATCGAGATGTCACATCACATCCTAAGGCTAGAGAGTCAGGCGTTCGCACTTTTGATCTACAAAAAATAATATTCTCCATTAATTTGCTTCTATACATAGTATAAAATAATATCGCTTCCCGCTGTCTGTACACTGAGATCTATTAAACTATACAAAAGATTTTAATGCTTTTTTCATCAAAATACAGAGTCATTCATAAGGAAGGTTTATATTATACATCTAAGGTTTATATTATACGCGGGCGAAGCCGCTGGCAAAAAGCTAGTAAGCTATAATTACCTGTGTAATATGTATTAAATTTTTACTTACATCTTCTATGTTAGTGGGACTGTCTTCTTCCATCTGAAAAAAATTGATAATAATATAATAAATAATAATAAATAGTTACAATATTTATTTTATAAAAAAAAAAGTTATATTTTGTATAATATACTTGGCAAAAATTTCTTTTGACAATTATTCTTAGGGCATAAAAGCTCTTTGATAGTTCTATACAGATAATTTCTTAAAAAGTAGATAAGTCTATTCAGGGTCGTTGGATGTAAAGGGAGATATAGGATACACAGTAAATGAATAAAAACAGCCCGAGGCAAGTTACTTTTGAAGACATCTTAATAATAACAGCTCAGCTTATTGATATTTCCCATTATATCATACATTTAAGTCAGCCAGGAAATTGCAGAACCGTAGAGCTCTGCAATTTACTGTGTCTGTTAGATATTTAACTACTCCTAAACAAGACGATCGATTTCGATGTAGTTTTCACTTTTTGATGGGAAATTTCAGGAGTAAATTTTATCGGGTTCACAAATTATATCAGTAAATAAAAGCTCGGAATAGCTTATATAAATACTATTAGTAAAAGAAAACCTACGAAGAATGTGTTTAATAAATCTAATAAAACAAAGCAATTAAACTTCAAATCACCATATTTTTAAACATGTTTACTCGGCAAATGTTAAACCGAACAATTCGACCTAATATCCGGTTCGATAAAGGTTAATAGAATTCGATTATTTGGTGAAACCAACATTCGGCGCATCTCTAATAAGTATATACCTCTTGAACCATCTCCTCCACTTTTGGTCGCAGTGCGGAGTAGCTGTTCATTATGTACAAGAGATGTCCAAGTTCTGGATTCAAGCGATTCTTCATAGACAAATCACCCTAGAAAATACACAAAAAAGTGTAAGAAAACTTATAAATCAACCTTACAATCGCATAATAAGTTTAACATTAGAGATGGTGCTACTAATCTCACAATTTTCTTTTTTTAACATATAGAAAAAAGGAAACATTTACATTGTTATTAATAAAAAAGGTTTATCGTTGGAGTAAATTTACGCTGAAACTGTACTTAGTATTAGTCAAAATTCATATTTTTAAACAGAAACTTTATCAAAGGTTAACCTAGTACGAGGATCTACAGAAGTAATATTAACTCCTAGAAGGGAAGTTTGGTTATTTTCTGTATAATTGCAATTTTAGCGTAAATTTACTCTGATGCTATTATCTTGTTTATTAATAGCGCTATAATAGTTTTCATTCATTTAGAACGATTATGAACGCTGATGGGAAATATTTTTTTTGTGCCCGACTTTACAAAATCCATGTTTCTAGCTGTTCCTCACTTAGTAGCAGGACCAAAATACAATGGTTAGAGAACAGAAGAAGATTATTTTTTAATTATTTTAGAATAGGTCTTTTGGCGTCTTTAAATTACGCTGTCTCAGAGCGAATTAAAATGGCTTCCCCAATTGTGATATAAAAGAAAGGAAGAAATAAGAAAAATAAATATTGCAGGACATCGCGCATTGCAGGATTCGCAGTCGCGACCGATCGACATTGCAATTGTGCCGTTTCGTACTCTTGATTGGATACACTAGCGCCAGAGTATGCTAGTGAACCAATCGAGAGTACGTTCAAGAGTAAAGAGGCAGACCGGAGGTTCTTGCGGTGTATTTGTGTGAGCTCGCAAATATTTACAAAGCAATGCTATTCGCAGTTATGTGTGATAGTCCCATAAAAGGATTTTTAAAATCAGTTGAGGAAGTTTAAGAGCCTATAAAGCACTGGATACATAAATTAACTGTTAACCGTAGGACAAAAATGTGAATGGATTGAAAACATTGACCTTGTCAAACTAATATAAACTCACAGCTTTAATATCGTCCATCGCAGCCACGTTGAGCAAACTGGTTGAGAATAGCGGGTTATCATACTGTTCAAATATGAAGACCAGGTCGTCCATATGCTGAGCCGACAGTATGGAGCTGAGAGTCTCGTACTCCTGTACTAGTTGCGGTAAGCAAATCGATAGCTTCGTCTTATAGATCGCCTCGTCCAGTATCTTGGTGATACGCTCAGCTTGAATGTGGCACTCGAGATCGATGGGCGATGCGGCTGTACGTAATAGAAATGCATTTTTGTTTAAGTTGAAAGGCATTTCGCAAAGAAATCCAAAAGCAGTTTTATATCTCTCAGAATAAAACACTCCTTACAAATATATAGAAACAGAAAAAAAAGATTCGTAGTAATAAGTTTTTAGAGTAATGATATCCCGTGTGTTCATTAGTTTTGAGACAAACTTTTTACAGAAAAAAATAAAATGTTACCGGCTGTTATTTTTTTACCGATTTTAAATTTGGAATGTTAACTTTTAATTTATTTGTATCGCAAATTCATGTTTATATTTTCCCGTGATTGAGGGAACGAGCGGGAAAACCGATGCAGATGTTCCCCGAGCTAAAAAGTTTTCATGTAGTCCGTAACTTCGTCTATTACACAATACAGCGGTACAAAGAGACACGTTATCTGCAAGACGCTCTGTGAGGACGCCTGCGAACATCAAAATCATCCGAGAGCGACTTCGACGAAATCCATGTCGCACTCAGAAGAAACTCGCTCTGCAGACTAATATTTCGCGCGTTTCTCGTGAACAGAATACTGAAATATGATGTTAAGGTAAAGGCCTATAGCCATAGAAAAGTGCACTTTTTAAACGATTGTCATTGTAAGTTACGACGCTGAAGAGATATGATGCCAGGAAGATACTCTCACCGACGAGAAAATTTTTACTGTCGAAGAAAAGTTCAAGCAACAAAACAATAAAGTGTAAACTAAAAGTAGCAAGAATGTCCCAGCTTCCGCACGGAATGTGTCACGCACTCATCATCCGCTAGTGTGATGGTATGGTGGAGAGTGTCATATGAAGGTGTCACTCCGCTCCATTTCTGTCCAGGAAGCCAAGAATTATCAGAGGGCATTTTAGAGCCCGTGTAGAAACCCCTTTTTTTTTGGGGTTTTTCAGCCAGACTCGACGCCATCCCATAAGGCTAAAAACATCAAAACTTGATTGAGGGAGAATGTGCCGGCCTTCATCGCGGCGGACGAGTGGCCCTCCTCCAACCCCGACCTCAACCCGCTGTATTATTCTTTATGGACTCAATTAGAGCTCAAGGCCTGGCGAAAGTCCCATCCAAACTTGGAGTCACTGAAGCGAACCCTTGTTTGAGAAACAAAGCGAAAGCCGCTAGAAAAGATTCGTGTCGGCATTGATGACTGGCCAAACTGTCTAAGGGCCTGTATTAAAAACAAGGGCGGTCATTTTAATGAAATATATATTTTATTTTTGATTATTATCTTTTTAATAGTTACTGAAAATTTTAGAAATATAACCTAATTATTAAAAAAGTTACGCAACTTTTATTTCGTCTCAAAACTTGTGAACACAAGATAGACTTAACCTAACTAGTTTCATTGCAGTTTACTACCTATGCACACTTTATATCTGTGATTCAATAAATTCTAGACCAGTGATTTCTAACCATTTCATTATTGTTACTTTTGTGGGCTATTAGAACTGATACATTACAAGTACACGAAAATATCTCTATTATTAGTGATATTATCGTTTTGTATTAAGATGGTTATTATTGTTTGCATTCACCAGTTTTTGATGTTAGGTTTAATTCCACTCAAAGCACCTTTTAAATCATGTTCCACGTTAAGAAGATGTCATGATTTTCAATTTTCAGGTTCATTATACACCCCCACAAAATAACTGACATTATAATTGTCACGAACATGAATACCTACCATTATCCTTAGTGAAGTCTTCTTCCCTCTCCTTCCCACCAGCGCTGGCGCCTGACCTGCTACTTCCAGTCCTTGAACTTTCTGAATACGTTGAAGGCGATTGTAAAGTCCCCGAAGACATGTCCTACCTTTATCGCAAATGTAAAATAATTACCGGAAACAAAATATTGTTCTACTGCAATTTGTTTCCTTTTTTACACATTTATTAATTCCAATATACACTGATAAAAGCTGGAATCAGCTGGGTATAATAATTAATATTGATATGAGATGTCAATTGTGTATTCACAGCGGGGTGTCATAAAAACAAAGATGGTTGCTATAGGAACAGTATCGATTGAATACTTGAAGGGTATAAAAGCAAAGGCGCTTCAGTCACAAAAATACCTAGACTGAAAAACCGCAAATTTCCACTGTGTCGTAATAAATTGTATTTTTTATCAGAATCCGATGTTGGTACATTCAATAGAATACATTAATCAAATAACAATAATCAAAACAAATAAAATATACATAAATTCTTAATAATTTAAGAAATAATGTAGGACTGAAGTGTTTTTGCATTTAAGCGTTGGACTAAAGCATGTTTGCTTTTCATTGCTTTGGATCGAAGCGAATTTGCATGTCACTATTTAATTCGTCAAATGTCAATAAATGGCGGTATCGATTGCAAAATGATTGATCATCGCCATCTTTCATTCGTTTCATTTTCATTTTACATGTAGAAATAAATTTATTCACTTGACATTGGCAGAATTGTGTGAAATGCACAGATAAGCCATTAATAAAAGAAGAAGAAGAAGAAGATTGCAAAATAAAACAATGTTTTACAAGATTATGAATTTAATTAATTTTGTTAACAAATTAGTTACAGGTACTTAAAAACAGGACATCATATTGTATTATAATTATTTATGAAAAGTAAAGATAAAATATTATTCTTGCGCATGTAAAAAAGTAAAAAGAAACTAAGAATTAAATCATAATATTTGAATCCGCTGTGGGTGGATCGCAGATAGGCTCATCCTCTTGAATTGAATGACTGTTATTATTATTCAAAATATTATTGTAATATTGGAGTTCATTAGGATTTTCCCACTGCGGTCCATAGTGTTTCTCTAACAATTTCCTCACATTATTTTTTTTCTCTGCTTTTAATGCCACATTATTTTTTGGAAGTGGAACTTATATTTTTGCAGTCGTAAATATTTTTTTTGTTGTGCTGACATGCAGGTAGTTGTGGGAGATCTTTAGCAGAGTACCTTAAGCAAATGAAAATAAAACCCATTACCAAAAGCAGAAAAAAACTGTTCAGTATAGCGCGAATAAAATGTTAGTACGTTACGTGCTTTTAAAATTCACTTAAAGAAAATTGAAATAAAATTTAGAAGAAGCATTCTATGCAAGCCCTACTTTACCTTTTCATAACGGCCAAAATATTAGTAAATTGTTTGTTACCTTTCTGCTTTTTCCTTCACTCTTCGCCACTGACTTTTATTTACCAGACGTTTCCGTGCTCGTCCTGCACGTACTGATGTAATGTTTTCTTCCATTACAATAAGTTATTTAATAAAAAACACAAATTAAACACGCGCTATGCTCAGTCAACTTACTATGAAAAGTAACTAATTCGCCATCTTAGAAATTTTGAAATGGCTGCTTCTGGTTGGTTGATTGTGATCGAGGCGGATTTGCTCCTAACAAATTTTGGATCGAAGCGGTTTTGCATCTAAACGCTACTTTCTAAGTGAAATTTATGTAAGATTGAGGTGGATTTGCATGGTACCGATTATAATATATTTTTGCATTTTTTTATCGCTACAATTTGGTGTGCTCAGTGTAAAAAACATTTTTGGACTGAAGCGCTTTTGCTTCTATACCCCTCACTTATAGACTCTGATATCGTTACAAAAATGCACGAGAACTTTCTAAATATTCATATTTCAGTATGTTGTTGACTAAAAGTTACAAATATAGTCAGCAATCGCTAGAATTTTATTTATCGCGCCGCCGCTACCATGTGTTCCAGCTCCTGGCTTCCGCACTAGATACTTAGTATTTTATACCCTTAGTACTTCAACATACTGAAATATCAAGTTATAGAAAGCTCTTGCACATTTTTGAAACCAGCTCTTTAACTACTGGAAGTGTAAAGCATTCTTATTGTTGTCCATACTCATAGATAGGTGGTACAAAATAAAACATTTAATTTTGCTTTTCAATAATTTTTCTACTAATTAAAAAAAATTGAGAGATTGAAATTTTTAATTAGACTTTTTTGCCTATTAGATTGACTCAAAATGCAATTAACATTCAATAACGCATTGCTAGACACGGTGTATACTGATGTATGCGTTCAATACATCGGGTTGAATCAAATGCACTCAACGTTCAATACAGTATTGAACTTTAAGTATAATTTTAGTCAATCCAAATTCGAAATTAAATGAAATCTTATTATTTTTATGTAGGTATGTTCTATAGTTTCGAGAGAATCGTAGAGATTGCCACCTTTGCAGTACTTTACCTTTTGTATTATTGATCCTAATTGTATATTATATACTAGCTGTTTTCCCGTCACTTTATATACTAGCTTTGCCCGCGCAAATTCTAACCTATGTCACCCGCGTCTAATGTAGCTGCCGATAGATGAAAGAATTTTTGTAATCGAATTAATATTCTTTAATTTAATACACAAACAACCACTTAGACCTGTGTCAAAAAGAAAAGTTTTCATCCCTATCGGTAAGATAAATAAATACGACTATGAGACAACATCACATACATTGATCAGATTACAATTTAAGTAGGTAATAAAATGAAGATACCACTACACCCAGACCCGAGGCAATAGAGAAAAAAATCTACATAGACCCGACCGAACCCGAGACCTCATAAACGCTGACACGTTGAAACCACATGCGTACTCTGCTACGGAGGTCGTTAATCTTGCTTAGAATCGAACTCGGAATGTTGATTACATCATTTAACTCCAATAAGCATTCGGCGATAAAGGCAGTTATATACAATTACACTTCTTCCTTCATCTGTTACCATGACACTAATTTATTAGTTACTTCAATTTTTTTGTAGTTAACAGACACCTTAGTAACCCGTCGCTAAGTGACATTATAGTTAGGACTTTTGTTCTGAGGTATTTATTACGACGAGAAAATTTATTTATACTTTTGTGTTATCCGAAGCGTTAACTTCACAAAACTAAAAGGAAAAATAGAGGTATGTTTTAGAATTTATGTCTTGAACTTACCAATACGATGTTATTAATATTCAACGAAACGTGACGCATTCCCGTCAGATATGAACCGACCCTAACACTTAAAATAGATTCAAAAAACTTATATTGTACGTCGTGAATATTATGATTGTGCTACCGGCCTTTCCGGTTCATTTAACACCGCACGTTTGTTACAATTCGTACCCTGATGTGCCGGCGACTGTACATGTTAGATTAATATGGTAGATCAATATTAGTATTGTATAAATAAATGAAGGTAACTATTGCACTACGCCCGTCTTATGCAAATATGTCACATCAGCACCTTTACCGCGTAACTAATTCAGTGAAGAATCTGTCAGACGGACAAAACAACTAACAGGCGGTCAGGTCTGTAAGGCGGACAGATCGACAGATCGGACAGATTGACCCCAGATAAACACATTTGCTGAAAAAGAAATCCTTTAAATAACCAGTGTCCCACTGCTCGCGCGGATTGAGGCCGGGCCCTCCTTGCAGAATACCGGACTCATTCATCCGCGTGAGATGAACCGCAGCGGGCTTTATCAGGTAGTTCAACCACACTTACATTCCCTTGTCAGGGCGGGGTGGTCGGAGAGCCCTAATTTGAGCATTTCCCCTGCGTTATCAAAGAAAAAAAGTGTCCCATTGCTTAAAGCCATAGCCAAATACAATATATACCATAAGATTCTTTTTTTTATTAATCTATATGTTTATTTACAGTATAATATAATGATATAATAATAAATCGTTTTTAATAATGTTGAATTACATTTTGCAGTATTATTAGCGATAAAAGTCAAGGAATCAATTCAAAATGCCTAAAAAGGGAGTGAACAAATTAGCGAAGATGTCGGATGAAGAGAGAGCGCGGTATCTTCAACACCGAGCCGATATGGAAGAGGAGGCTCGAAGAAGGAAGAGAGAACTGATAGCCAGATTCATCAAGGTACTCTGAATCCCTTTAGTCTTTATTAGAGAACATCGCTCACATACATAAATTAAGTACCTTTTAGCGCTCGTATTGCGGAAATCTGAGACGAGACAAAATATGGTTTTCTATATTTTCTTGAGTATAAGAAAATATAGAAAACCATATTTTTCCAACCTGAAACCTCAGAGATGATTACGATTTGCTTCATAAAGCAAAAAAAAAAACCGAACGTAGATTAACAAAAAACAGTGCCACATTTCAGTGACGCAAGGACATCAAGTGAAATCGTCACTTAGAAAAATAGAACAATTTTTATATTCATATTAAAGTGACAGTAAAATTGGAGACTTAACTAAAACTAGATTATTGTTAAACTTTTTATAGAATTACACGATTTAACTGTATTTTAATTATATTTAAACTTAATGTCACAACATACAGCGTATATATTTTAGCACACACCTTAATAACTATTATATGTAATTTAAAACTTTGTGTATGTGTTACACTTTTTATATTCTTCAAATAAAATAAAATAATATGATTTTTTTTATAGAATAAACTAGATAAAGAAGAAGCGTACAGTCGAATGAATAGAGCAAAACTAAATCAAGAATGGCGGTACATACTACGCAGAATCAAATGCAAACAAATGGAAGCCGATATTCAGGTGAAATCACTAATTATACTTTTATACATATATAAATAAATAACAATCACTAATCATTCATATTTCGGGAGCAAAAGTTTAGCAGATGAATAGAAACGTAGGAAGAATATGCCTGTTGACGGTTAACGAATACAGATGTAGATGATGTAGATTTGTTAAAGTGCATATTAAATTAATAAACTCAAACCAAAGTCCGCGCGGAAAGTATCTTGTGTTACTCCTTATTACATAAACTATCTGTCGGTTAAGTCCCGTCAAAATTAGTCCAGCCGTTACATAAAATAGCCGGAACAGACATATGTACAAAAAATGTAAAAAATATTATTTTGGTATATGTTCATTCATACATACGCATTTAGTAAAATACGGTTATTTTAATATTACAAACAGACACTCCAATTTTCTTTATTTATATAGATGATTGTTAATTAATGATATAATATTGTATGCCATAATTCATAATACAGATGTATAAACGTAAATATATAGTATATATAGTACAATCAGCTGCTTCATTGCTAAAAAGCATTTTTTTTCAATAACCGTATGTTGGACTGGAATAAGAGAAGATTAGATAAAAGCGTCAAAAACCATTTTATTCTTCTTATTTCAGGGAATGATGTCCAGTTTCAATTTTATGATTGAAAGGAAGGACCGTTTGATTCAAACACTGATGAAGTCCATAGACGATTCAGATGAACAACACCGCCGTGCCTTCCAGGCGCACACTGAAACTCTCAGCTACTTTTTAAGTATATAAACATTGCATTTTTAAACGACTGCCCAAAAACTGGAGTTTATTATGTTTAGGGTAAATTTATGTATGTGAGTTTTTTTTTACTCCACCATAACTTTCGAAAGACTCAACGGATATGTGACGGATGTGTAACACTGGCCATATATATTTTTTAAGATTCGAATTAAAAGTCTTGTACATTCCCAAAAATCTATACTTTATATACTTTTACTGGTTCCTAAAGGGAATAAAATAATAACAAATAATTTAAAGATCAAAAACACGACTGCCAATATCGAACATAAATATTGACTAAAAAAAAATTTCATTGCAGTCGGGGAAGCGTTCTGTGAAACATTTGTAGTCTACGACGTCCCCAAAATGCATTTTTTTTAGCATAACCCTAATACGACTTGTTTATTTTTAGTTCGATTTTTAAAAGCTTCTACTGTTCCTAATCTTATGAATGAGGTTACTTGATCCGAGCTTTAGTTCCATTTACGTTAATACTTAACATTTAAAATGTGATACTTTCTTGTTGTTTATTTTCTAATTTGAATTAAGAATAGATAATATTATTTCTTCGCGTAAAGATATTTTTTTTTTATATAAAAACTCGTCAGATATCGGCTCTCAGCGCCTGGATAAATTGCAAGTAGAGTACGATTACCAGAAGAATATCCTACTGGAAACTTGGGACAAAGAAGAGTTCGATATAACTGACAAACAAGATCGTGCCGAATTCAAACTGAGGCTCATAACATATATACAAAACAGTGACTTCAAAGCTTACAAACACGAGATGGGACAGAAAAGGGCTACGGAGAAAAATGACGCGAGGTTGGAAGTAAGTGAATATTCATATAACATTTTGTAGAATTTGCCGATTACTAATATGAAACCATTAAGGCAAATGTCAGTAGATTACTAATTTTACTTATTTAACAATAAACTATATTTAATAGTGCTATTAATAAATAAGGTTTAGGGTCAGAGTAAATTTACGCTAAAATTGCAATTTAAGTATTAGTCCAAATTATACAGAGAATAAGCAATCCTACCACCTTTTAGCAGTAAATATAATTTCTGTAGAACCTCGTGCTAAGTTAACTTTGCTAAATCTCTGTTTAAAAATTTGAATTTTGACTAATACTAAGTGCAGTCTCAGCGTTAATTTAATCCAAAGCTAAACCTTGTTTCTTTATAACACTGTTAGAGTTTAGTGGACTTTTGTGCTATTGGGTGTATGTTCTACTTTCTGTCAATTCTTTAATAGAAGTGATGACAATAAAATAGACAGAGACAAAGACAATAATTTGAGTTCTTTACACTTAACATATCAATTTAGGTATTACATAAAGAAAAAACACATGAAGAGCCAAAAATAGTTGATGATATACATATTTATTAATTTTTGAAAGTCATTTCTTTTTATTATGTACATTAGACACAAATTTGGTAAGTAACCATAGAACACTAAAAAAATTTCAAAGTACAAGTTAGAGATACGAGAAAGAGAGAGAACTATTTCTTAAAGATTTCCTCTTTGAGTTACTGGGGATCTAAGCGTGATGGTTTGTTTTATCAAAGCTTTTTTTTCAGTTTTAATTCGAAATCCCACTCGGTCACCTAAAAGTTTGATATTATATTTCTAAAAATAATAAAAACAAAAATAAATATTTTGAAGCATCGTGTTTAAAACAAACATTTCTTTAGACTAAAATACTTCCAATTTTTAACTCTACTTAGTCTGCAATAAAACATTAATATTATAATTTTAACCTAAAAACTTTATCGGATATTATTAATTAATACATATTAATAATTTTTATCAGTTTTGTTTTGTAATTTTTCATAGTTTACTTTAAAATCCTAATGCTACTTTTTTAAAATAAAACTCGACTGATTTATATTTTTAATCACACAGAAACAACACAAATAGTACCTTATAATAAGTTTTTATTATGTCAGTATCATCATAGACATTAAATTTTCAAATTTTCATTCCAATCGTCGCAATTAGCTTTTCCTTTCTCAGACAAACACATCATCAACATTTTAGAAAATTCGCATTTATCTTCTGTTTTCTCTGAAAATGATAAAGTATTAATATTTCATTTTGTATTTAACAGACATATCGACATAATTAGTTTAATATTATACTTACCATTATCAAGTATTTGAAAGCATTCTTCTATCGATTCTTGTAGGAAATCCCTTAGATCTTCATTTCTGACGTCTTTCGTTATGACATCAGTCACTAAATACCGATCTGGCATGCCTTCTTCGTCTGTCTAAAAACGGTGCATAATAAAAGATTTACGAAATTTCAAGAACCAAAAAGTTATTCTGTGAAACAAACTTAATTTTCGTAATGAATTATGCTTAAAATTCACCAGCCCCAGTTACTCTGAGATGGGACTCTGACTATATAATTGTCAATATAAAATTAATCAAATATAAAACTTAGTATTCGCTATAGTTTTGGAAATCGTAGGTACGTATACCTTTGAGAAATATTATACGATAAAATCGAGATCTCTACCATTTCTAATTCTTCTAAGAAGCAGTGTAATGCACAAGCTTTGCTATCCATGTCCGTGTTAGAGCTGGAATTCTTATCTTCTTCATCATAACTATCATCATTCTCTGATTGTTTTCTCGTATTAGGGTTATATTGACTTCTTTGGCCAGAATTCTGAGTCCTTCTACTTCTTCTGAATCTTCTTGAAGGCTGAGTCGTCGAATGGAATCCGTTGAATCTTGGTATGCCCTGTAAGCTTTTATTACATATCATAAAGCTCTTTAGAATAAAATAACTAAATCAGGGCAACTTTGCCAGTATTCGTGCATAATTTCGAACTTAATGTTATTAGTTATGTGTACGTAATTTTGTCTTTGATTCATAGTACTTATTTAACTACTCACCCTTTCAAAATCATGATTCTTCGGAAAGTTATATATTTCATCGAACAGGTCATCGCCAAAATCATCCTTACGGCCAATTTTATGGCGTTTGTTGTCAGTGTATTCATGACTTGATCTCTCATCCCTCCCTGAATTTCCATCATCTCGTTCACCTATCCTTTTTCTATCTCTATTTCTTCTCTCATCTCTGTTACCCGTTCGACGATCATTACTATCCATATTATTGTCTCTACCTCTTGCTCTATTCCCTCTGTTTCTTGTTCTGTCTTCTCTGTCTTCTCTATCACCTCTATCTTCAGTGCCGCCTCTGTTCCAATGATTTCTCTGATTGAAACGTCCACGGGATCCTCTCCAGTCTTGTTCGTCTTGGTATCCGGTGTCACTAGAGTTTCCGCCATCTTGTTTCTTCAAGCATGCCGCGTACATTGCTTTTAAGTCCTCCTCCTTTGGCCCCCCTTCTGATCGACAAGTTAAGGCCTGTTATGTAAACACATTTTAATTACCTTAAATGTGAATTCATTAAATCTATCTCTTTATTTTAAGTCCGCTTTTTTGATAAACACACAATACTCACATAACATTGCAAAACAACTGAAAAAAATATTATAACTAAATGCAAAGGATGACACATACTGTTCACTTTCGCTGTGTACATATAACTGGTCGAGGAAATCCTAATATACCATATATAATGGAAACCACGCTTCAATACCCTGATACACAATGGCATCAGTCAAAACAGTGACATGAACTAAATTTGAAGTTGTTAAATAATTATTTGATGAAACACGACAATAGTGCTAACATTTTGCAAAAATAAAAAAATATAAAGACATATCCAATATTTTAATTATCTTTATTACTTACTGGTGATCAAGAAAAATCTATAGAATTCAAAGTTGTACAAACTTCCTATTCCAATTTATTGACAGAATTACATACTTATATATTATCATATTTCACCCAAATTCTTACATCCGTGTTATAAACATAGCCTACTTAGTCATAAAAAGTATCAAGTGTTATTTAATACCATACCAACTCATATATTATGAAATAAAGGACTGAAAATCATCTTATGAACCTGTCCTAGGTATCCTAGGTTCATAAGTACAATATATCTATCTACAATATATATCAATTCTAACCGTGGGTAAGAATTGAAATTGTTCATGATCATAGCTTCGAGTCCCATCTCATAGTGCCAGGGACAAAGTGCATTTTTTAAGCATTTTTCATTAAATAAGTATCCTTATTATCTTAAATAGGTATTACGTTTTTACCGTTAATCAATCCGTCTTCAAATACATCTCAAAAAAGTTTTTACTTTGCATATTATTATCGATATATTTTTTTTTCCTCCCTCCCTACCTCTGATTTATCATCATGATATCACAAAGGTCTGACTTGTCACGCCAACGCATTGTATTCATCACAGTTGTCAAACTGTCACGTTTAGTCGTCGGAAGAGCGGAAACCATCTGTAGGTTTATACCTAATAAATACTGGTTAATAAGTCATGACCAATTGGAAATTATATCGTTCCGACCCTTGTAATGATTCTATATAATTTCGCCAAACCTAACAATTATACCTATGATCCGGAAATCCTGTAGATATTGCATAAGGGTACAATCCTTGCGGATATATCTTATCTTTTATCAATGCTAGATTAGCACATATGCAAAATAAGCAACTATTTCATTTTCTAATTCCATAAATGAGAAATAATGCCTTGAGCAATCCAATCTTTTCTCTTTATAATATGTGTATAGATTATGCCGAGCAAATAAACAAAATCTCCTTTCCTGACCATTTCATTATATTGACATATTTTTATAAATATAGTAATTTAATATTTTTAGTGTTTCTTATTTTATGAAAAATATCAATATCACAAAAAAATTGATACGGCGGCATCTGCTCACCTGACTTCAGCATACTTAAATATCAAGCTTTAGAAATATATTGAACATTTTTGTCACGATCTCTTATACTATATTCTGTTAAAAGCATGAGGAAGAAATGCGGATCCTATGTAAACCTAAGCAACTTGAAATTGAGACTTATTGGGCAAAACTTCGGGAGGTTTACAACTCGTATTTGGAACAGCACAATCCCATAATGGGCCACTACCAAACTCTCAGGGAGAAAGATGAATTTTATACAAGAGACATCGCAAGAAATGACCTGCTTATACAAAAAGCAACGGTATGGTACTTCGTATATCTTATAGTTTTATTTACATTCTGTTGAATGAACACAAACAATATCATTATCACCAGCCTATTAATGGGAAGGCCTGAGCCGCAGCAGTTCCTACTCAGGCCTTCCTTATGGATGGAATCGGACCAAACCGAATAGGGAGATTGGGTCATGACCCATCATTAACGACTGCAATTAGAACCGGAACCAACGGCTTAACGTGCCTTCCGAAATACGGACGAGCTCGATATCATAAATTTTTGATCACCCATCCCATGACCGGCCCTAGTGAAAACCGGACGCGCTGCGTCATCAAGCTCCTCAGTATACAACACCAACTGTAAATTTTCCTGGATCTAGGGGGAGAGGGCGAGTGGAGCCGCTTGCCCTTGGCAGAGGCAAAATCATGATTATATAGTACTTGTAAATAAGTTATAATAATAGCTTTAAAATCTTTTCATACAAATTTTAGGCTACGATGGGACGGACATATTTAAAAATCCCTAAAAATATCTTACACTGCATAAATATGGTAATATAAAATTCGGCTTCATTGAGCGTTGTGTAGAGGAAAGAAGCTTTACGAAGTCTCTCATAGATCCGGGCCTGGCTACTACCACAGAAACGTAGTAATTTAATTAAAATAATTTTCTGATTATCAATAGTGTTCTATTTAATTATTGCGGATTAATTTATTAATAATTTAATGAAAGTTATGATTGGCAGGATATGGTACTCAATCTCCAGCGAGAATGCATGAGAACAACGAACTCTGTAACCCATAAATTAACGAAGATGAACAACCACAAAGACGAGCTAACGAAAAGATACTGGTTAATAAAAAGAGAGAGTAAGGCACAGAGAAATTCAGGCGACGGGCAGCTTACCATCATGGTGAATGCCAGTCAAGACGCCATCAAGGTATTTTAAGTATTTTATTAAGATTTCTAGGGTTCCGTACCCAAAGGGTGAGACAGGAACCCTATTATTAAGACTTCGCTGTTTGTACGGAAAGACAGGAACCCTATTACTAAGACTTTACTGTCTGTCTGTCTGTCACCAATCTGTATCTCGTGAACCGTGAAAGTTAGACAGTTGAAATTTTCACAGATGTTGTATTTCTGTCGCTGCCTCAACAAGTAATACTAAAACGAGAATAAATTATTATATTTGATCAATTTTGCAATGCTATACTTGAAAATATTCTCAATGAAATATGCTTAAAAATCCTGAAATAGGATTCGAACCCATGATCTTTCGCAATGCAGCAGCAGTCGCCCGGAATGCGAAAGGTCTTGGATTCAAGTCCTATCTCAGAGTACCAGGGACAAAGTGACTTTTAAAGCATATTTCATTAAGAATATTAATCAGAATAAAATGCATACTTAAGTGAGCTCCCATACAACAAACGCGATTTTTTGCTTGCTTTCGATATTGATACGACAACAGGTGAACGCTTGAAATATTTACAGAATATGTATTTATATATTAACTTTAAAAATAAATAATTAAATTTAAATTAAACAAATATTTAGGGCGGCTCTCATACAACAAACGTGTTTTTTTTTTGCTCATTTCATTTACGGAACCCTTCGTGCACGAGTCGGATTTGCACGACCGGTTTTATAATTGTCACTCTCACGCAAGGCAGGCCCTTCCACATAGGCACTACTAAGCGACTGCCTAGGGCGCTCGTATTTGAGGGACGGCATGGAAAACAGATTATGTTTACTCTTATTATTTTAACCCTAAAAATTGCAATATCTTAAAAAAATCTTTTGTTGTCAAACATAAGTCCATGTCCGCGGTATTTAAATCTATAAAATTTTCACAGATTTTAACGTAATAACTTATGTTTTCATTTCTTTCAGCGTCTAGAGCAAGTAAAAGAGAAGATGAATAAAATAATGCAAATGGCCGAAATCTGTCGCAAATACGAACATCTGACTGATGACTCTTTACTTAAAGACGTAGACACGAATGGGGCTCCTGTAGATTTTGAAAACTTAGATGGAGCTATGATCGTAAGTTATAAAGAGAGGAAACTGGTAAATTTGTATATAAATCAAAATATATTAAATTGACATCCAATTCAGAATGTAATGTAACCTTTTATATCACGTTTTTGTATCTTTCATCCATACTTTCATATAATATATATATATTATAAATGTGTTAGTACTTAATTTGTTTGTTTCATTTCCAAGTCTAAACTACTGAACCGATTTTAACGAAATTTGGTACACAGATATTGTTTGCGTATAAATGTTTTTCTGTAGTTTGCTAGTAACAGATTCTCTGTCTCTATCTTAAGGAGAAATGAAATTCGGATATTCTTTTGCCGTTATAAATGTGTAATTTATTCTTATAATGGATGTCACCAATCAATTAATCCAAAAACAATATTTTAGGGATTTACATCACAGTAGTCAGTTTCGGCTTTTACTTTCAACCCGGTAAAGTTTATAATCGATTGGTGAGTTTTATTTAACATAGTGCTTTTTTTCTTGTAGAAAGAATGTAAAGAATATAGCAAAATGGACAAGTTCTTGTTGAAGATGAATCGTGTTAGGGTCCAAACTATATGTCTGAAGGCAGAAAAGGCTAAATTGGCGAAAGAAAACGTTCAGCTGAAGTTGTACATCAAACGGTACCTCACTGAACTGGCACTACGCGGTAATAAAAGCCGTCCCCAGAGCATGCAGATACAATCAGAGTTGCAGAAAATAGATGTCAATGGGAAAACTATGTACGTAATGTTAGTCTCACGAAATAAGTGTCTCGGATCACAATGTTTTCATTTTTATTGCAAATGAATAAGTTATGCCGTGAGACTTCTTTCGTGAGACAGATTTTACCTTAAGAATTAAATTCGTAATATTCAATTTCTTCTAGAGCTATCATCTGTGTAGGTAATCTATTACACGCATTATAGGCTGGTCTATATACCTATATAAACTAGATAACTGCCTAGGGCGCTCGTATTAGGTAGGGCGGCGTATGTAGTCATGGCTTTAAAATTATTGTACATACAAGAAGCCATCTTTGCTGTTATCGAAAGAACAAAATTATCAGACTCGCTAGTACCTATAAACTTCTTGTGTCATTGGCTCTCTTTACTCGGTGTACCGTACTAATACCTATAGACAAAACCTACCAGTCTTTTATTTTGTTGTGATTTGCGTAGACGTCGTTCCAGTGTGTTGCTTCATCAGCCTAATAATGCCCCCACCGCTGGGACTCAGGTCTTCCCAATGGGTGGAATCGAATAACGTTTTGGGCGGTGCCAAATTAAGCCAGAGCGGGGACCGTAGCAATTCTGACGATTCGGCTCGCACTGGTGTGTGGCAGTTCATGTTTCCTCCTTCGGCATATTCCATTATTTGTATGTAAAAATAATAAAATATTAGATAACATCACATACATTTCTCAGATTCCAAAATGAGTAAATAAAGCTCCCAAACGAAGGTACCACAACACCCAGACCCGAGAAAATAAGTTCAATTTCTACATTGACCCGACCGGAAATAGAACCCGCGACCTCAGAGTTGGCGACACCTTGAACCCTGCGTGCGAACCGCTCGGCTACGGAGTTAGATAAATTAATATTGATCCAATTTTTTTTATCAGAAACCGACCAGTGACCTGCATAGAAGGTGTTCTGTCCAATGCAGTGCAACATGAGAAACGGATGAAGATTTTAGAAAAGAAAAACAGAGAAATCGGAACCGTCCGATCCTACCCTCGAATGCAATGCTATATGAAATCTTAGTATTTTTTTTTTTATGTGATAGTAGGCTTTCCTGCATGTTGACAGGTCGATTTTATCTATTACAGTTATTATATTGATCATAGCACTAGCTGTAACCCGCGGCTACGCCCGCGTGGGCCTAGGGTACTGTGTACACGTGGTGTACATACTGACGTGCTATACCGGAGTCTTAAGCTAATCTTAATTAAAAATCTGCCAGTGAGACACCCACCTTTATATCATTATCATTAGCTTATCAACGTCCTAAATATATAATTACTAATATATAGTGTAAAAAACTAACGGGCAAACGTACTAAAGCTGAATTGACCAGATTTTTTTGCACTTTATTTATAGATAGTGGTTGATCCATAAAAACACGCAACAAACTTATAGATCTTAACTCCCTTCCCGCACGCGCACGCGCCTTGGTGACGTCCACTTCGTAACGGGCCGTGAAGCAGAAATCGTAATATTTTAATTTCGCCAAACTTCAAAACCAAACGTTCAATTTGGTTTTTGAGTGATTGTCAAAGACCAAATATTAATTTATTATTTTGATAAGGATTAATAGAATGAGTAAAATAAACGCGTTTAAATGTAGTCCAAAAAAATTCAAGGATTTTAAACAAAAAAATGGTTGTTGTGCCTCACTCGACATAGATAGGTATAGTGGTAGTGCGGACTTTTATGTAGATATTTTTAAGATCTACAATTAATTAGAACATTTTATGGTTCTATCTTTTATAGTTTAGGCAGCGTACGTAAAATAAGTAACTTTTCCGGTTGTTTTTTTACACCTTGTGTCCGAAAAACCCAAATATCTTACGGAACCCTATTTTTTCCAAAATAAAATATAGCCTATGTTACTCGTGGATAATGTAGCTTTCAAATGGTGAAAGAATTTTTAAAATCGGTCCAGTAATATTTGAGCCTATTCATTACAAACAAACAAAGCTTTCCTCTTTATAATATTAGTATAGACGATTGTACTGATTAAAATTATTCAAAACATTTAATCGTGATGATTTAGAAAAGGATGACATAATTTAATTGTAAACAATGGTTTCTATGGTACAGATCGAATGCATTATAAGAACTTCCACACTAAGTTTCATTCTTCATGTGCCTCTTTTCGGGATACGATATAAGATAGACATACTGCCGTGGACTATTTTTTATAGCTTTTAAAAGAGATCAATTTCGTAAGACATGATATTGCGTAACTTTAACCGTTTACGCAACGCACGTATAGAAAGCGTTAAAAAAATAAGATATTCTCCCATTTTTACAACATTTTTCCTGTCCATTTATCGAGAAAGGCTATAGATATTATGTAGTCTATAGCCTTTCTCGATAAATTGACTATTCAACACAAAAATAATTCAATATGTTTCATTATATCCTGAGATTATAGAGTTTAATCAAACGAACAAACTCTTTAGCTTTATTATTAGTAATGATTAAAGATTTTTGTTTTTGAGAACACAAGGTACCTACGTTTACAAGTCAGTCAACCATATGAGAATATTTATAAGGAAATAATTGACGTAATATTGTATCTTCTATATAAATTTTTGTGTAATCTATATGTAACTTACTTTAAAATATTTTAAGCATAACATTCCCTAAGTAATGTGTACTTAATTATTAATGTGATTTTGATTGAATAAAATCATGAGTTATGTTATACTGTCGCCCCAACATTTGTATCTATTTTATCATGTACAATACAGTGGACCAACGGTTATCTGAGAAACATTGTGCAGTGATGTCAAATTATAGAGTGCATTGTACATTCTACAGTTATTTGAAAAAATATATTTTTTGCATTTACAAAATAGTATTGTAATGGCAGAGCCACCCTCTTTGATTTCGAAATTCATTCTTGATCCATCTAATAACTTATTTTTGAGTATGTCCTTTATGAATTAGGGACAAATAGCCAAGTTACATAGTTTATTCGATAAACTAGACCTTTCATGATAATCGAAGTGGGCTGTACAAAAAGAAAATTCAATCACATAAATAAATAATCATTTTCAAACAAATTCATACTGTGTTTCACAGGTGTAGAGATTTATTGAAATTTTCGTGTACACTCAACAGTGTCAGGTATGTTAGTGTAGAGATTAGATATATTGCAGATTATTGTAGTGTGCAGATTATTGTATATTTTTATAATAAAGATAATAAAAATTAAATCATTTTATTCTCAATAATCCTATATTAGTAGAACTAGATTTATACAATTTATTAAACATACATGGAATATATTCAAGACTCTTCATTGTGTAACTACAATTAATTACCTTTTATAAATAGAACAAATATTCTACTTCAGTGAATATTGTTGTGACAACTTATTTTCATACACTGATTGTTTTCCTCGCTGGTTAAAAATTTGATAATTTTAAATGTAGTACTATCATCTTTAAATTCCATTTCCTCTTTACTTGTGGGTTTTTTCCACTTCTGATTTTTTAAAATTAAACTGTAGTAAAAAAAAATCTTAAAAATGCATGGCTTGATACTGGGTTGATTAAAACTTATACCATCATAGGTGTGACACCATTCATACTGTTGGTACTATCTTCGCCAAGATTCCATGGATCATCTAATGCAACTAGCAATCTTGCGAGGCCTTTGTGTCCTTCAGTATCAACGTTTTTACACATATCCTCAGAAAAAGGGACATATTCATCACACAATACACTCTTGCCTTGGGAAATACCGTAGATTTCGTACCATCCTTCAAGTGGCTCGTTCAATGGTCTCTTCAACCTTATCAACACTTCCTGATCATCGACAGTTTTTACATAAAAGCCTTCACTCGCCGAAACTTTGGTAACTTTACCCCAAAGTGTTACTTTCGCGCCATTCTTCTGTGCGAGATTACTAGCAGTAACGTATGGAACAAATTCGTCATTATCTGGATATTGATTGTCTTCAAAAACGTCGGTATCTGCCATTATAAAGTTCAAAATAACAAACAAACAAAATTATGATTTTTAAGAATTTACCCAAACAATGTGCTTTTTGGTTTTTAAATTAAGTGACAGCTTTGGTGACAGCATAGAATAATAGTACTCCTAACGGAGAGTGACAGACAGTAAGCTTGTCAACAAACAAATAAACATCGATATCCCGATATTTTCAATTCGTCTAGTTTCAATTTCTAGGCAGTATATTATTTTGTTATAATAAATCGATATCAAATATCCAATATCGATATTTTATCTAAAACGATATTTTCTTTTGTTTTTATTTCAACGAGAATATAAACCAAAAATAAATAATTCGTCCTTCCGTTATCCGCACATTTTTACTCTTTGGTTATCCGTAATCCGTATCGAACCCATAGAATTAATAAGTACTACGTAGTACTTATTAATTCTATGATCGAACCTCAACGCGTGCATTTTTCTGGAGTTGAGTTGATTGTACTACAATCTTACTAATGAGGAAATATTTTAAGAAAAAAAAGAAAACACTAAATAACACCTATATAGAGTCTGGCAAGCGAAACGTGTCACAAGAAAAGGGCGGCAATTTCAAAAATTCTTAAGCAGTAAACACTGAATGTAGTACTGCAAAATAATTTTGATACTTTTATTAATTATATTTAATCTTAACATTTAGATATCAATTAAAATTATTTGTTTTGGAACATTTGACTAAAGCGTGACTGTTCTTAATTGTACAGTTAACAGCATATCAGTAGGCCTATTCACTAACTCAACTGACAACCAAGAATCGTCATCACCGTAAAAAATAGACACTTTGATTGTGTCAAAATCACTATTTCGTATTCTCTATCAATGATGAGCAATTTCGAAATGTCAATATCGGCATTCTCCACTGGACTCCATTTTGACACTTGATTTCGTATCGATAAACTGTATTAAAGTAACATTGTTGCAAAGCATATTTGAAGTCGTCGCATAGTACCTCTTAAGCCATTTGTTGTTAAATTAAAGCGAAAAAAAATACGTATCCAATATTTTTCTATTATCTGACTGACGGACTAAATCGAATCTTTTTTTTAACCCATTCGTTATACCTATTGGCTAACAGCACTTATAATATTAAAAATTCATATTTGTCATTAATTAAAAGGGTGTTTTTTGCAACGACTTCTTTGTTTTTTTGTAATGAATATGGGCGACTCTGGCCACATTTTTTTAATAAATGTGATGTTAGCCAATTTTGATTTCTGGCCCTTATATTTATAATGTGTTCATAACACATACATGTCTCCTAAGGGATTTTCATCACAACCTTTTGCTCTGATCCAGAACCACTATCTATCAAATTAAATTAGTCAATATAAACACCAGATTACAATAAAAAAAACATTTATTTTTGTTACAATTAAGTGCCATGGATAAATTACATAATACAGGTGTCACAAAATCATCATGTTAATCACAATAGAAAATTTAAGATAAGATTTTGACTATGAATCAGACTAAAAATACTTTAGTCTGATTCATAGTCAAAATCTGTTTCTAAATATTCTACACCTGATAACAATGACAAGGAATCATCAGAGTCACTCTCTTCACTACTGTCTGCACCAACAGATATAATAAATTTTTCAAGTTCGTTTTCAACAATGCCATCTTTTAATTTGTAATCATTTTCGACATTTAAAACATGATCAGTGTATTTCTTCCAGTCACTAGGGGTAATTAAGTTAAAACACTCTATTATTAAGTTTTCCATTTCCTTTCCTGGTATTCCAATGTTTCTGCTTGCAATTTTTCTTTTTGCTTGACTCCAAACCATCTCTATTGGGTTTAAGTCACAATGATACGGTGGCAGCAATAAAAGTTCATGATTATGTTCTTTTAAAATCTCTTCAGCTTCATATACAGGCAATGTTTTCTTATCATTAACCAAACACATTAACTCTGCCTTTGTCTGATATTCCTCAAAATGTATTCCATTATTTACAAGCCATTTACGGATATCTGCTTTGGTATTAGACATTATAGGCGGTTTATTGATTTGTTTTATATGGTAGCTGGCATTATCCATAACAATTACACTGGGCTTACTTAAATTTGGTATTAATTTTTCTCTGACCCATTTCATAAAGTTCGATGAGTTCATATCATCATGATAATCAGCAGATTTGGATTTACTACTGAACACTAATAATGCACCAGGCACAAAACCTTCCTCAGATCCAGCATGCACAACAATATGCCGTTTTCCAGAGGATATCTTTGTAGTGACACCAGTTGTTGAAGGTCCTTGCCAAGACTTTTTAACTTTATAATTCTGATGTACATAAGTTTCATCAAGGTACACAATTTGCTTTCCTTCGTTTCGTTTTATATTTATTTCTCTCAAATACTTGTGCCTCCATGCAGAAATCTGGTATTTTTCTATAAGCATAGAACGTTCATTTTCATTGCTTTTAAAAGAAAATCCATTCTTAAGCATAATTTTTCGTAAAGTCTCACGGCTACCACTGAATCCTATTGCATCTTTTAATTCATTGTGAAGGCTTCTTAATGTTGGAACAATTTTTTTCACACAGTAAAATTCATTTACTTTATTCCGAATTGCACTTAAATCAAAATTATCTAAAGCAGACACTGTTGGTTGATGAGGTCGTTTTTTCCCAGGAGTGTCCCATTTTCCTTTATTAATTAATGCTTCATTTTTTATCCTTCTTAGTGTCCTTATACTTACATCTATAAAAGATTAAACACTTTGAAACAAAGATATGTTAAATGTATTTAAAAGCAAATAATGATAGACACATACATCAAAATAATTTAAATACCTATTCAACTATGAATGCAATTTATGTTTAATTTAGTTAAGTTTATGTGCATATTTAGCATGTATAACAATTACATGGTTTGATTAGTTTCATGAATTCTGTGAATTTCCTTGTTAAACAAAACATTCTTATGACATCATTGGATGTCAACAATAAAAACCAATACATCATAAAAAACCTATGTAAATATTATAGGAATACTATCAATCTATCTTAAATCAAAACAAGAAAAGAGACCTGTCATTGAAGAAATTTTTTGTAAGTACTGCGTTTCCGAATTCAGCATTTCTTGTTTTTCTAAAGTTTTTATTGCATTTATCTCCTCCATTATTGGTTGAATATCACCATCACAGTTATCTGAAATAGAGCAATATTTTATAAAAAATATCTGTTTAGTTAATTACAGAAAATTAAAACGAAAGTATCAAAATTATAATACAAAACTAACCTAAAAAAGATACAACTTTATCTAATCGTTGTAATTTCTCCATGAAATTTTTATTTAATTCAGTTTTCACTTCAGTAAACTTGTCAATCATGATGGAAAGAAGTTTCCTCGATGAACTTTTTATCGGCTTCGACATAATTTTTAACCAAAAACACAAGTTCAAATTCGCAAAAACAACAAAATTCAATATTCTTGAATTGTCTAACGTAGTGTCAAACTGACAGTTCTATGTTGTTGCCATATGAAAACGGAAAAATAGGTGGTGTCACGTTTCGCTTGCCAAACTCTAGCACCGCAGTGGATGGCGACTCTACCAAAAGTTGTATTTGCAAGAAACGAACGGACCAAAGATAGATAGTCATTTACAAAGTGGATTTTGATGATATATACTGTTCTCAAAGTTAAAAAGTAATAAAAAATATCATCGGGATCTGATGTCTCATTATCAAGTGCCATGCATTTAGTGGGCAGACATACTACATGCATGTATAAAAAAATAGTACATTCTTTTTCGTACTAATGTCTCATCCATCTGTAGGTCTTCTTCTTCTTCTTCTGCGCGTAGCGTAGTTAAAAACGCTGCTCTATGTAATGGCGCTGATCGTGACGTCACTGGCCAGTAAATATGTCAAATCGATAAGTCACAACTGTCTTAAGTGGTGCGTAGTGCCACAATGTACTAATACTTCTATAAATAACAAACTTCGAGTCTAGAAGAAAATAGATTCACAATCACAATAGATTAGTAGCTATATAGAGTAGAGATGGGTGATAAAATTAGGTAAGGATTCACTAAAACTATTGAAACATTTTTATTTCATATCGATACATTTGAAGGTTTTGTTTTTTTTTTCTATATCATTAACATTTTACGAATCATTTATATTTGTTGACAGGGCTCGCATTTTACAGCCAGTCGACCTACAGATGATCATCGCCATCTTTCATTAATTTCATTTTCATTTTACATAGAAATTATGTATTTACTTGACATTGGTAGAATTGTGCGAAATGCGCAGATAAGCCATTAATAAAAGAAGAAGAAGAAGACCTACAGATGGATGAGACATTAGTACAAAAAAGAATATACTATTTTTTTATACATGCATGTAGTATGTCTGCCCACTAAATGCATGGCACTTGATAATGAGACATCAGATCCCGATGATATTTTTTATTAGTTTTAAACTTGGAGAACAGTATATATCATTAAAATCCACTTTGTAATTTTGAATTATATTCAAGGCGTTTTCCCTATTTCTTAAATTAAATTTTTTAAAAATCTTAGTAAATGATTCTTTCTTTCTGTATTTCTTTTTAGCAGTTCTTATCAGCAGAAGCGGCAAAGTATTCTGTTATCAGTAAATTACTATAAAGTACTCAATACCTACAGGAATCGATATTTTATGTAGCTTTCTATCGCTACTTTAACATGACAGCTGATGACGTCACAGGCCAGTAAACAGAATCGTGATTGGTTGTGACAACGACCAATTATAGGACGTTTTCGTCGTTGAATAAATTCCTAAAAATATTGCATTTTCTTTACGTTATTTTACTAAATCTAAACATGTTTTTTCTGCGGATGTTAAGAAATAAGCTTTATTAGATTATTCTCTATCATGATGACTACAAAATGCAGCTTATTTTCGATAGTGTCAAATACCCTATTGACTCAATCTCCCGAAAAAAAATTTAGATTACATCTCGATAAACTGTTATATAACCAATATTTTTTACTTACCGATGAAATGAAATTTCTCATTTTTTCAGACTTACATTTTCTCTACCCAAACGAAACGTAATAACGGCACAATTCGGCATATTTTCGTATTTTTCGACGCACCATAGACCACTATGACTTATATTTTCTCCGAAACTAACGTTTTCTCTGAAACTAGTTTACTGAGCACAATGGAAATTTTACTCTTGCTGTTGGTATAGAATGCTTTGTGTTATTATGATAAAAAATGGGCGTGTCCAATTTTAGGGTGTAACTGTAACCGTTTTGATGACAAAAAATATGTAAAGGTAATCAAAAATAATAACTACAAAAAGAAATTTAATAAAATTTATTATTTCTCTTATACCTATTTACAGTCCTTATTCCATGTGTTCTCCCAGAAACAAAGCTGCATAAGGACCTTTAAAAATGCAAATAAAAATTAGTAATGAAATTTTTTTTTATTTTAGCATCATAAGATTATAATGAAATGCTAATTTTATAATTATACAATTACTAAGAAAAATATTTATTGATTTTTAGATAATTATAAAAAGAAGTCACTGTAGTTATCAATAAATGTTAATTAATTTCAGTCAACTCTGTAAAAATATATATATAAGTTAAAGGGCAAATTTGGTGTTTACAAAGCCCAAGCTACACTTCTTTCTGGAAGAGCACGCGTAAGTGTTAAATTAGGCAAACATATCTTCGCGGTCAGCGGCTAGAGTTGGTGCGGCTGCATCTTCCATCGCGGCGAAGTTCATGAAGTGAGCGGGTCTGTGGACCTCATGGTAGAACTCACGAGGGTTACCTAGTTGAACGCCGTACTTCATATTGGGATCGTGCCTGACGCCTGTTGAAAACTTAATCATTAGTATAATGTCATAATTTAAAAAGTTGATCTTAAGAGGTAGAAATAAAAATGGACATTTCATTGTTTCGTTGCAAATTACGTTATTTTCATGAAATTGTTTAGGGGTTTCGAAATAACAGTCAGGAAGTATTATCGAGCTTCCGACCATTTATTATATGCTCATATATCTCATGCGTCCCTTACAGTTCTAGAATTGTGGATATAAATGCGAAAGTGTGAAAGGAAGTGTTACAAAAAAATTACGATTTGGAAGAGATCAGGTTCACAAATAATATATATCTGGGGTTCCCAAACTTATTTCATCTCCTGTCCATTTTGACAATAAATTATTTTTTTGTGCCTCCGTTTTTTAAACTACTTAAAACCATTATAACTTTAAATTAAATTAATTATTGTGAACTATATTACCAGAGATTAAACATTCATACTAAACGAGACTTTTACTATAACTCTTACCCCCCTTTAGGCCTGCAGCACCCACGAGGGGGCGTTATCGCCCACTTCGGGAAATGTTGATATATATGATCTATCATAAACACTGTTGACCACATCTGGCATAATCACAAAGCATAATTTTATTTCACTAAAGGGAAAGTCTTAAGACTATGATTTTCTATTAAAATAGTAATAAACAGCATACAAAATTCTAACAGCATGCAGATTCTTATAAGAAGTTAATGATTTCTTAAGGTCACAAACAAAGTTTTGTGCAGGCAGTTACAACATTCTTAGTATGGTAGCCGTACAGATAAAATTTCGTACAATGACTCGGCATTACATATATCTTTCATTCGTGCGCAAATATTACTATTGCGCTCGCACAGATGCATTTAGCCAATTTTGTCATATTAAAGTGAACGAAAAATGTTTACGATATGTATCAGTACCCACAAAAGTCTACGCACGTAATAATATCTGTTCAACGACTGTGATGTGATTATAGAAAAGCAATATCTCACCCATAAAGTTGTAGTTCCAACTGCCCTGCGAAGGCACCATGAAGTAACCCAGGAACCTATCCGATAACAGCATCTGTACTCTCTCGTAGTGGCTCGGCAGATATCCTTTGGGGTTGTTTCCTCTATCTGTATTGCGGGAGCCCCACTCGTACCCGCTGGGTGTCAGCTTGTATGCAGTCAAGGAACAAGAGCCCGGAGTGAAGGAACACGTGATGATGATAGTTTTCTCTCCGTCCCATGATGGATTCTCTGCCATGACTTTGGCATGAGTAGTGATGTCCTGCAAATGTGTGACAATGTTTAATATTTTGTCTTGAATTAATATCGGAGTTGAAATATTCATGGAGAAGTACTTGTTATCTGATTTTGAGACACTGAGAATTTTTGGATACAACATTTGTTTCAAATTCTTTTATATGAAAGGCTCAGTCCCCACTTTTCACAAAAGACCTGAATGTTGGATGATGGTTTGTTATCATTGTGAGTAATCTACATAAACTGATGCCGTCTCGGCACGCCATTGTTTTTCTTGCCGCATTTTGTTTTTCTTGACAATTGACAATTTCAAACGAATTTTCACGTACACAAAATATACGTCTCTGACTGCTGATATTTGAGTATTGGTCTTTAAATATCTTTCTTTTTATTTTCATTTTAGTTTTGATGTCAGCTACCCATTGCGCGTCTAAATTGTGTCCTAAGAACACTAAGAACCAATGGCTGTTACTGCTGAGCACTTGCCGCTCTATATTTGGACACACGTATTTTTGATGATGATGATGAATGGCACATAAATATGAACTGAACAAAAGTTAATAATTACCAGCGCCTAATATTCGTTTGTTAAAATTCTAATGTATTCTTATAAATTCATATGACATAGAAATGTAATGAAGAATATCTCCAATAAACTTAATAAAATAAAGCAACTAAACTTAAAATCAACATTTATTAAAAAACAATAAAATATTAAACCGAATAATTCAGCCGAATATTCTGTTCGGTAGAAGTTAAACCAAATATTAAGACGTATTCGGTTATTCGGTGAAACCAATATTCGGCGTATTTCTAATAATTTATTATAATGCTAATGTCAGAAAATATTGAAATCTCTAAACAGAAAGTATATGCCTGACTTTTTGTTTTTCAAGCTAGGTGTTAAGTAGTTGTACCTGTGGCGATAGTTGAGGCAACTCGTTGGGCTGCGTGTGCATCCACCCGAGCGGCTGCAAGTGCGCGAGGGCGGGGTGCTTCGGCAGCTGTCGCGGCAGGTGCACCTGCTGGTGGGTGCCCCACTGGGGCGGCAACACCGCACAGTGCACCTCGCGTACCATCGGATTGTCCGCTGGCGACGTGCCGTACAGGTAACACGCGATCTGTACGTCACGACCATACAATACAGTGGGATAGATAACACACGAGACTGTAAACTTTATTTATTATATCAACCAGTCATGGAAGTACACTTGCGATGGACGTTATTCGCGATAGACAGTTATTCAACTAGTGATTTGCCTGAATCGCGAGTTTTGTGTGTGAACCTATTTTCCACAACTCTTTAAAGTAAAGTTGAATTCACTCTTAAATAAATCACTTAAGGTTGATGTTTAGGCCACTCGCTTTACAATAACCGCGATCACCAAGTGGCGATCACAGTTCACAACGATACGTAGACGTCTATATGAGATGAACACTTTACATTAACAGTCAGTACAGTAACAGTCATGCAATTTCAATAACTATATAGAATGTATTTATAATAATATGGATCACATAAGTTTTTGAGTTTATTTAAAGTTTAAATTTTGAACTAAAATTATATTCTTTAGATACATTTGTATGAATTCTCTAGAACAATTAACTTTATACATAATAAGCGTCTTAAAAAATTAGATATAACAAACCTGTGCTCGAAGATCGGAGATGGTGACGAATTTCTTGAGCAAATTCTTTGGCAGAATGTATGTGTAACCACTCTCCTTGATATCATCTGAGCTCACATAGATGTGGTTTGTGCGTAAATGCAGATTAGTCGCAGAGATCGCCCTCACTCGCCACTCGGTCTTTGAACTGAAATAATCCATTTATTTTAATACACCTGATTATAAATATTCAATACTAAATTTAAAAAATATAGATATAGGTCGTACAAGATTTGACGATATCTTAATATGGATAAAGCATGTTAAAATCAAATTAGATTTTATTCTGTTACTATTAAGTTTCAATCTATGATATCGTAAATCAAGAACAAAATAATTTTTAAATGTGTGGGATATTTTGATAATCAAGTAATGTACAAAGCTGTGTCCATAATGAAATGATAACAGAGTAGTTGAGCTAATCTAAGCAATCTGTTTAAAGGTTGACAGGATAATGGTTATTTGCCAAAAATTACAGATGAATAATAATGAATATTATGCAATACAAACAAATATAATTATAAAAAATGGTACACTGTCAAATCATGATACAAAGGTTAAAATTGAAGGAGAAAAAACTGTTTATGATAAAGGGTTCTCGGTCTCATTAGCTAAGAGTCTCATATAAAGATATAAGACATAGCTAAAACCAAAAAAACGTTAATTATTCTCGATTATGAATAATTTCTATTACCTGAATGTTTGCGACTCATAGTTGCTAGTTGTTGAGGTGATGATCTCGTCACCGTGTTTGTTGACTGTCCGCGTGGTCGTGGCGGTCAGTTGACTCTGCTCTTTGCTTTGTTTCTCGATTTCGGCTATTTGTTGCCGTTGCGCCGACGGCGCAGATATTTCCATACCGAGAATTATGTCGCGGATCTCAGATTGCGTAAGAGATGCTACGTTGACGCTGTAACAAAATTTATTCTGTTGAAATTGTATTTGTTATCCACTTTCAAAGCACAAAATTCACTATCAAACATGCAATTGATGGTTATTCATTAGAAGACTACATAGAGCAAATTGCTTGCATTAAATTTCGCTAAAAAAATACCAAAAACTTTAAAATACAATATCTACTACAAATGACATGCACTCTGCTCTACATAGCCTTTAAAAACTTTTTCTTAGTTCAAACCACATTGTAATAAATATATCAATAAATAAAATTCCTCACTTGTTCTTCTTGCCGTAATCTGCCAATATCAAATCCTTGAGTTGAACTTCAACCTTGATCCAATCATCATCAGTCAGCGTCGGCCAGATATGATGAGGCTCCGTGAGCGTAGTCTTATCGGGTTTCAGTAACACTTTAGTACGTTCCGTGTTCACGTGGAGAGCTCGAAGAATGAGAATGAGACGACTGAATGCCTATAAAAATAATTTACATGTAAACCAAGGCGTTATGACCGTTATGCTGTGACATAATAGAATCTAAAATAGATCAGCTAGCGTAGTATCAGACGGAGGGCGCTGGGAGTATCGCGATCGACGTACGCCGCAGTCACCGTCCGCCTCCAGAACACATTTCTTTCTAGTTTCAGGACCCCTACGCGATTCATCACTTCTACAGACTTCTTTAAAGTTTTACAAATATTGAGCAAATATATTGCAAAAATAATTAACTAAAGTAGAACTGTGACTATATAGAGTGGTATTTAAAGCAATTCACTTTCGCAATCTAGTTAGATTAAGAGTGCCTCTTTTCAGTCTTGTTAGGATTTTCACATGAGCTATATATAAAAATACAATTTATACTTGTTTGAACATGTACCCATCTAAAAAATCAGGATCATCAACCTTTTAACGTCCCCATTGTTGGGGTACAAATAGCCAATTTTGCATTTCAATTACTTATATTTTTCTATTGTACTATCTACCTGAAGTCCAATATTATATATCAGTCACTATAATAATATTGAACTTCAGGTAGATAGTACAATGGAAAAATACAAGTAGTTGAGACTATTGAGATGCGATTATTATGTAAACATAGCTGAATTGGCATGCTGGCCTTCAAATGGACGGAACCAAACCCACCAAGTAGGCCCAGTTGGCGAGTGTGAACTGCAAATCCAGCAGAGATCAACGGCTTGACGTGCCTTTCGAAACACAGAGTAGCTTGTATACTAATACATTTTTGGTAACCCATCCAATACTGCCACAACATAGAGTTCCAAATTAGTCAAAAATCAGGGTATAAAACCTTATTGTAACAATAAATTTCTGTTGGTGCTACTTTTGAAATAGATTTGTCCAATCTTACCGTGTACGAGGAGATAGTCTTGAGCCAGTCATCATACAAGTTGAACAGCACCATCTGAGGTTCTGTAGCCTTGAGGATGAGATCACCAAACTTCTCCACCTTCAGACAAGCTTGGAACGGCAGCTGTAGTTCTGATCCTTTGATCACTATGTTGGGGAAGTCCAGTAAATGCACCTATGTACAAGACATATACAAGTTAACACTGGTGCATCAAATTCAAGCTGCTATCATTTGTTATAGGTTTGACATATGTTGTTATAAATATGAGAATTTCATTGTTATTCTCCAATTTCGTAATCTTGTTACTAGCATGACTAATGAAACCACAAGATATGGATCACTGATTACTCTCACGTTACAATCAAAATAGGTAATATTGATGTAAATTATAAGAATTATATATTATGCATTCAGTGATGCATAATATATAATTCTCATAATATTAATTAAAGATACTTCTTTGTAAAATTAAAATAACAATATTCTTGATTAAATATACCTCGAGAGGGTCCAACATTCCTTTTCTGGTAACAATGATTTGTTTCGGCTGTTCCTCTACTGGCAGTGACCTAATCAGAGCGGCAACTTCTTCTGCAGTTTTCCATTTAGCGAGCTGTCGAGGTGTAAATTATAATGTCAAATTTTTAATTCCTTTAAGCTCTAATGATAGTGAAACTTGTATCGGTAATGTAGCTTTAAACCAATGACAATTTTAATAGATATTTGTGCAACTGGTTGTTTAAGAATCAAATCACTAATTTAACATAATCTAAACATTAGATTTCATTTGTAATTATTTTAATCTCACCTGTCCCAGACGTTTCTGTCCCGCCCATACGCTCGTGTGGATAATCTTCAAGAACAGTTGTCCAGTGCGCGGATTGAAGATAAAGATTGCTCCGTTGATAGGTTTCGTAGTCAAATTGCCTTCGAATGTCTTGTGGATCGTGACTCTGTATACATTTGTGTCATCTACGAACCTATTACAAAGGCAAGTAGAAATAAAAAATGTTGACTTCTGATAAGGTTATCTATACATAGGTAATAGACTTTAAAACTAATAAAATCGAAAATACATACTTTAATATATAATTTTAAAAATTATAAGCTCTATACAAACAACAATAGAAGCTAATGATGTCTCCACTTACCAAATGATCTGGTTGGAGAACAGCTCTCCGTAGTTCTGACTGGAAAGGTAAGGTTCAGTAGGTTCTGATGAGTACAGTTGCAAGGCTTTCCGTATGCGTTCACGTAACACATACAGAGCGGGATTTGCCTTCATTATTTTCGCCATAGCTTGTTGGATCAGCGGTTTGCAGCCGGGGAACCAATTGCCATAAGCACTGTGGAATTTAAATAACACATTATAGTAATTATAAATAACAGCAGACAGTTATTTAAGCTGCGGTATAAGCATAAGAAACTTTGTTTATTTTTGTACTGGTATGTGAGAATCTTAATTGGAAAAGTGCTCTTCTGTCACGGTATTAGCCAGTTCACTAAAACAACTATTTCATTTATTGTTTTTAAACAATTTAGACATCAATGCGCATTTCCATTTGTTATAACCAACATGTTTTGTGAGAACGTCGGCGCTATACGCCTATGAGTTGCGACCGAACATGTCACATTACAAGTGGAATTAAGTAGTTAACAGTGGTTTATTTTGAACCAGTTAAGTCTTGATAGTAGATGGTGGGAGGAAAATGCATTCTTAAAATTTTGTCTTTCATACACTGTGAATGTAGTACCTAACTAAAATTTATTTTCTATCGTAATAAACTTCGACAGAGAATTTTCATGTTTGGAATACTCAACAAAAAACTACAAAAACTATCTCTTATTGGGTCATACCTGTGCAGATTGTAAGCGAGGTCAATGGCGATGAGCAGTCCAGTCGGCGATGGGTAAATGGACATGTTGTCAGTGGTATAATCGAGGAACTTGGCACGAGCATACCGTTCTACGTCGTGAGAGTCATAATCACCCCAACGCAGCTGAATGTCCAGCCAGTACTTTTGTGTTGTTGTGTTGTCCATCGTGTCCCTGGTAGATAAAGTATACTGTATAATAACACAGCCAAAGCTGAAAGCTTTTATTCTACTATATTGAACCTAAAATGCTGAAAAATAGTTTCTTAACGCAAAATAATGCTATATAAAAAGTAAAATGTATCTAACCAAAGAATTGTTTATTGAAATGTATTGTTACTAGATCCAAACTCTTTAGCTGTCAATACTTATTTTTTTATTATCTGGCAACACAACAAATCTCTTCTGTCGTCACTTGTATGTCGTGTTTTCTTTTTCCCGTGTTTCCAAATTGATTGAGTTATTTACCAGTTTATTTATAATTATAATAGAACAAATAAGACAATGCAGCAAAACTGAGATATAATTTTGAAAATTGATTATTATCTAGTCGTCTCTTTACACTACTTCCGACTATTAAAAGGCTTTATTTTACTTACTTGGTGTCTGCAAGCAGTGACGGTCTAGATACATTCCACTTATAGGCAGAGAACAGTAGAATGTCAGCACAAGATGAGTTCATTTTGTAAGATTTACGCGGATGAATCGTCTCTTTTTGCACCGTCTCAATTTCGAGAGCGTCCAACTCTTGATCAAACACCTGTTGATATATCAATTGTTATAAACACCACATAATTTGTATTTAATACAATTTATACAGCCTAAACTTTTCAGAAATATATATTTAGACTACAAAAACAACTGATTTTAATAAAATAAGGCTTAATTTGAATTCTCATTGTCACATGTCAGTTTAGAGAAAAATGAGTTTTTGTTGTAAACATTTTATGTTGTAAAGAAAAGTCTTCCTTGTTTTCAGTAAAATTTTATTGCAGTATTGTAGATTGTATTTTCTTTTATATATTTATCAAGAAGTTTTACATGTCCAAATTTTATTATAATATTTTTTCTTATAAAAACGTTCCTAAATCTTTATTGCAAAATATATATTGGATCTTTATTACGAAATATATTTGTATGAAGGGCAATGATATGGTGTTAATATGATTATTAAAATCATAATAATGTGAAATTATATAAATACAGTACTATATATAGTACAGTATTACTATATTATATAACTAAATATAGTACCATGAAAAAGAGCTTGGATATCTTTTGCAAAACCAAGTAATGCAATCATGAACTTACTTAGATGATATAAAAATGGGCTTCATGCTGCATAGATCCTTCGTTTAAAATATGAAAAAATTATATATTAATAGTTACTATGATTTTTTTGTTTTGCATAATTGAATCTTTTTTTGAGTTGATATCTTGTGGGCTAGTGTGTTTTACCTATTTTTGAAACTAAGTTTTTAAATCACTTTGATAGATTTGTGGATTTGATACTGTTTGTATAACTTGAGTTCATTTTTAAATTCATTTTGTATAATGTAGTGTGTTGTTAAATTATATAATGTACACAAAATAACAACAAGGTTGTAACTATCATATTATAATTTTTACCTGACACAAGTCCATGACGATCGACTCGTGAACTTTCTGCCACAAGTGAGCTCTGAAAATCTGGATCAATGATATCTTCAGGGTAGGTATTTTGCCGTGCATGAATATTCCTGTCAAGTCCAGTTGCACCTAGAGAAATATATAGTAAATCTTTCAGAATCTTTTCAATAATTGCCGCGACTATTTTGTATGAACTGATGCTGATTTTAATATATCAGCATCATATCAATTTTGAAGGTAAATTCATTGTATTTTTTTTTTTCAAACACGTTTATAATTTTGTCTCGCAAATATTTCCCATCTCAGTCTCATTTTGGAAACAATTTGAATCCATTTACCTGGAAACCGACGTATACATTGGCCCTGTTGATAGTGGGCGACCACCACAGTGTGAAGCGACGATTCGGGATCTGGTTCAAACCGGACCGTTGAGCGTTAGTCAGTTTCTTGTACTTCATAGACTCTTCGAATCCAGAGGCTTTTTCCCTAGAAAATCATTGTATATTTTAATAGATGTTTTACTTCTCTTGTTGCAAAACTATTATTATTGTAATACTGTAAATAATGTCGTAAAAATATAAAAACCGATTATATTTACTTATAAATATTGGTAGGAAACAAAATATTAAACTATTCAAGAATAATACCAATTTGGAAGAAATAATTTCAACTATAGATTTATATTTTACATAAATAACTATAACAGAGAAGCTTGTTTTGGGGGGTGATTGAGATAATGTAAACTTATCCTACATACATAAATTTAAAATTTATATACTTGATTTTAAACCTTAACAAATAAAATAGTGCTAAAAATCAAATGTGGACATATTGTGGGTCATCTGATATGCTGTTTGTATGTATATTGAAAATAAAAATTCAAACAAGGGATTAATCAACCTGTTTCCAATGTGTAACTAACCAGAAAAGACCTTCCCAGGTGGGGAAGTAAGTGCCCTTGAATAGAGTGTGTTCGAGTATTCCCTCGACGCCGCCGAGCGCTTGTATCATATCCGTGCGGTAATTGTTGAGATTCCACAACTTGCCATCGTGGCGTTGATGGGTCCACCAGAACGGATTCTGCTTCAACACCTGTGATATATAAACGTTTATAAGACCGCTAAAAGGTAAAATGTTGATATGAGAATACATTAATTACAGAAGTAAATTTAATTATTATTTTAATTTATTACCAATTCTTTATTTGCAAATAATATTTCATAAGATCATATTTTTTTTTGATAGATTGAATTAGTAATTTTACTTTACTACCAGAAAAGAAAAGAATAAAATAGGATAAGAACAATATGAAAACAGTTACTTATTTAACTCACCTGATATTGTTTGAACTCGGTACGTATACGCCAACCTTTGTCATAAGCGAGCGTGTGCCTATCCTTTTGGAAAAGTGTGTTGATCCTAGGTATGCCCCGATCCCAGGAATCTTCCAAGTCTTCTAACGTTAAACGCCTGTTGTAAACAAGATAGCATTATATTCGTAAAATAACTGAGATACAAAAAGGTTTTATTAGATATATTTCGTTAGATCAGCTAGCGTAGTATCAGACGGAGGGCGCTGGGAGTATCGCGATCGACGAACGCCGCAGTCACCGTCTGCCTCCAGAACACATTTATTTCTGGTTTCAGGACCCCTACGCGATTCATCATTTCGAAAAACAAAACAATTGAATTTAAAATTCCTAAACTTATGATTGACATTATTGTAAATGGAATTATACAAGCAGGATTGAGTACACTGGTCTATGCCTGAATACATATTGGCACATGATTTAGAATTAATAGTTTTGACATGTCAATGAAATTTCAAATCAAAAGAATTTCTTGTAGCTATAATTTGTATAATACTTAAAATAATCAAGTGTTGTTTCTTATTATATCCCCATACAGTTCATTTAAGCTTAAGTACATCATAGTAACAATGTGCTGTTTAGGTCAGCATTATATTGGACCTCATAGTATAAAACAAAGTCGCTTTCTCTGTCCCTATATTTTTGATGCGGTTTTTTCATAGATAGGGTGATTCAAAAGGAAGGTTTTTATGTAAATTACAAGATCACGCGGACTAAGCCGCTGGCGGAAAGCTAGTAAAATATTTAACAGTAAAGACATCTAATATGCTATAGATATACCTGTTTTGGGCGTTAGCTTCTTGCCGTTTGAGAGCGTACTCGGCCCACACGCGTTGTGAGTCGACAAACTCGGCCTCCCAGGGCTGTATGTAGCGGTATAAGTTGGGAATCAGCTGATCCTCGTCATGGGACATTCCCGAACGGAAGTGGGTGATGCCGACGTCCGTTTGCTTCGACCAGCGGAGATCAGACTATAGGGAAATGCGGTATATTCTATTATAAATCAACTACTTATACAAATTCCTAATATCTTGAAACTGATTTATTGTTAGCCTAAAAAGTGGTCTACCAATTTTGTTAAACATTTCTGTGGCATCTAATTATTGCTAAGGTTTAGGTTCTAATGGAGTTTCGATTCTCAATCATGACGTATTGTCTATCATATGAGATGTTCTCAATAAACCAATGGTAAATGATATTATTGGCGACACTCACATGAGTGCATTCACACTTATGATATTTCATCGATCATCATAACCCGAATAGATGAACAAATAATAATATAAAAAACTTCTGAGGTATTACATTTTTAAAGGAATCATTCATGGTGGAATATATACTGACCTGTGGAATGAGCACGTGACCCATGGACAACATGCCGAGCCCTCCCAACTCTTTAGGTGTATAGAACACGACGGGAGGAAAACGCGACGGCATTTTCGAATTGAGACCTATCTTGATACGTGTTTGTATTTTGTTCTCGCATTTGACAAGCAGGTCGAGAAGCTCTTGTGTGTTTACGACTGCCTCTCGGAAATAAGTCATAAGACCTAGAAATAAGGGTTAAAATAGATTGTTCAAGTTAATAATAATGCTTTTCTATTTGAGAGAAACCTCTCTAGATTTAACCAGAATGTTACGTGAAAAGCTCTGCTCCAGCTTTATGAAATTACTGGTTACATGTATGTTGGTGGTAGCTTTTTATGCATTGATAAATAAATGTTTTATGAACTGTAAGTACTCCCGAGAGCCTAGATGATTGTCTAAATGGCAACCTGAGTAAAACCTTAAAAATAGCTCTCTGGGCCCTTGCCTTTTCTATTAATTATGTTTTTGAAGAGCCACCACATGAGCAAACAAAATAGTTATTAAGACTGTGACATATTCAATATGAGAGTTGTATGGTAACTATCAATTTGTTCAAGTTTCTTCAAAATAGAATAGCATATAATAACTTACCAATAAGGGCAGTATTCCATTTATTGACGATCTTAGTAAAAGTGGTCGAGCCAGATGCCATGAGTATTTGTCTGACTCTGTTATGGAATCGGGCCAGTGATTCATCATCCACTCTCAAGTAACACTGAGCTGTTCTCTCTTTGGTCACTTCGTTTTGCAGATTCCATACGCCGTCGCGATGTGACAGCTCCTCGTGTTGGCTGCGACACTGTTAAGAAAAACCAATGAGATCTACTAAAACTTGTTTTTCGGTTTATTTATTGTTTGGGTTTAACGTGACTGAAATCTGAAATAAATTTAATATGTAGCATTAGAATATTCGCCTCAGTCAGAATACCCGATAGATAGGTATGTCATATAAATTTGAAACTACATATATTAATTTAAATAGAAATCTTATTTGCGAGTTAAGTTGGAGAAATTAAACTTTTTGTCCTCGTTGTATCCGTGCGACCTCGTTGGTCTATACTTTTCTTATCGAATTTTAAGCAATAAGTTCTTAATTAAATAAATTTGTGAACAAATTGGGAATTAATAATAAACTGTCACTGATTGGCCACAAATAACGATAAAAACAAGCAAAATAAACTCACAATATTGATAAAGAACATAACATACCTTTGGCAGTATTCTGCATTCAAAGCCAGCCATATTGAACAGGAGATTGGGATTGTCTTTGGAGTATACGGAGACAAAGCTGTTTTCCCATTGGATGGTGGTGACGGAACGCGGCAAACGGTTCTTTATATCCCAGAATACAGCGCGGCCACTAAAAAAAGTATTTAGTTCAACACACATAAAGAATAGGCAAGTTAACTTCCTTTTAAACTTTCTTTTATTTAATAAATAAATAGTCAATAATTAATCAATTTTAAATTATGTGTTTCAAGTGTTCAAAATATAATGTAATATGTGATTATTATATTACCATATTTTACATCTCAAATTATAACATTTCACTAAAATAGGGATGATAACTGGGTTAAAAAAAATCTATTAAGTCTGTCAGTCAGGTAATAGAAAAATATTAGATACGTATATTATACTTCAATTTAACCAGTTATGGCTTAGATGTATATAAGCATCACGTCATACGACATTCCAACTCAATGTATCGCTGTAATTTATTGATGACGAAAAACAAAAAAAAAAGCATTTAATATTCTTTAATAATCTACCTGACAGACAAACAAACAAAAATTAGTCGTCATCCCTACTATATAATACTTACAGATTGACGTCGTGTTTCATAAGACGCATGCGGGCATCTCGCGGCCAGCACTTCTTGTTGTTATAACCAACAATATTTTCGTTATTAGGATCAGGGTGCTCTGTCAAATATCTCTGGATTAAGTCGCGAGCTTCCTCTGCCGTAAATCTGTTGTACGGAATAGTGAGTTAATTTTTTTTCTTCTAAACTTTACACTAATATTGCATGTTAGCTAGCTCTCTTCTTTGTATATTATTACAAAGAAAGGATGACAAAAACAGTTATTCAGAGTATACTTTAAGTTCCTCTCATTACAAAATGACTTATATATACTTTTAAACATATATATTTTCAGTTAAATCGAAATAAATCACATCAGAAAACGTTAATTATAATATGATTGTATCTTAATAAATCCCAAGTTTTTAATACCTGAAAAATATGTGTATACGATCAACGTATCTGCAGTAAAGTCTTATAGGATGAGCAGTCTCCGTCTGCCTGTCCTGGTAGGAGAGGAAATCATTCGGCAACTGCGGTGGACCCGCCATCTCGCTCGCACGCTGCAAACCTAGTACTAGGAGATCTAGCACTAGACCGTAGTACTGTACGACGAATGACGCGAATTGGAGACCGCGTATTATGCCATAGGAATTTGTATGGTTCATATCCTAAAAGGCAAGAAGTTATTGTTTGTTTAGTATTTAATTTACAATTTGAATCAAAATTTAAACATGAAAGAAGACACTACTTGCATGTAACAAAAAGAAGATAATAATTGTGAAGATTGGCGGTAAGATATTCTTCTGACTGAAGAACAGAGACTGTGTGAAAGATGATATAGGCAAGAAAGGGGTGAATGTTGAGATGACAGTTGATCGAGAAGTATGGAAGAGGAATAAATATTGCACTGATCTCAAATTAATGAATTAAGACAAGGGCATCAAGTGATGATGACTTTGACAGCATAATTTTGACTGACAACATGTGTATATATTTTTTTATTTGGGCATATACGTTTTGATGTATGATAATATCAGGCCACTTTAAATTGAACGACTATTATAGTACAATACATTGGATATTAATAACAGTGTTTAGTACAAACATGATTTCTGAAATTAAAAATTAATTTTAAAATTTTAAGCCCTCACATACACCAAATAGAATTCAAAGTTGATTGCGGAAAGATATTTTATGTATTTGGATATATATGTTTGATTAATAATAAATAAATATATGTCTTTATCACGCATTAACACGGATTATAGCGTCATGTGCGGAAAATTGAAGCTCCATAACCTATCTCTTTACCTTATAGTTGATAACGACATTGTTTTTCGCCGTCATATAGTCAGCTATATTGTGGTCTACAATCAAACGCAAGAGCCTGTTTAGCAGCGTCAGATCTATCTTCTCATAAAGTTTCTCGAAGCGCGACTCTAATAGTACATTGCATTCTCCCTCGCCGACTTCCCAAACGTCTTGTAAGTTATTTATTCCTAAAATAAAATGTAATAACATTACTATTGCGAAGAGAAGTATGTAGTTTCATAGCTAGAATAAATATATACATATAAACACAAGCACAATGAATTATCATCATAACCATCAGCCCGTTCACGTCCCCACTGCAGGGTCTCGGGCCTTTCCTATGGATGGTTAAGGATGGGCCATGACCCTCCACGCTGGCCCAATGCAGATTGGAGGGTATTTACGACTGCAAATTCCGCCAGAAACAACTTTACGTGACGTCCGAAGCACGGAGAAGCTCGACAATAATTTTTGGTCACCTATACTGTGACCGACCCTTGCGAAAATTGCTTAACAATAACGAACGCGGGTCGTGGCACTTATCCACTACGCCACCGAGCTACTTAACAAAATATAATAATGAACACAAATGTATAACACAATATAATATAAACATAAGTTACAGCATATTACACAGTTGTTGATTCTTCTTTGATGTTAAGTGCAACCAACCAAAGTGAGGTTTGTAACAAGGGGATGGTATAACCATACAGATCTCCTTTGCCACAACACACACTATGGGCAGTCGCATTTCTTCTTTCTTCTATTGCATTCTCTCTTCTTACACAACTCATATTATATTCAAGGTGAGGTAAAGATAATTATAAGATGGTAATGATACCTCTTACTTATCAGTAATAATTACACGCCTTTATTGGACTCATGGAGGACTTGGATTGGACTAATGCAAAAAAAGGATTACTAACTTAACTTGTAATATAAATCATCAGCATATCAGGTCAAATTTTAGCATTCCATTTTCGCATTACATTAAAGTTAAAAATTAAATAAAGAAATTGGACAGATTTGTTTTATCTGAAGGTTTAGTAAAACCTCAAATATTTAAAATTGTAATAATAATTATAAAATAAAAATAAATGAATTTCTCTTTGAGATAAGATATTAATTAGATATATTTGTTTGATATTCTGTATTCGGCACCCTTTTTTTTTCTTTGTACTCGGCTGAATATTCAGTTTAGATATTGAATATAGTCCAAGTACTTATATTTTCTTGGCTACACAACACGTTATATAACTAAGAGACAAAACCTCCGTTGTAAGATTTATGTATTATTAAATGAAAAAAAAAACATATGAAATCATATTAATTTTATAAACTGTAGCCAACATTTATTAACTGCAAATTAAGATTTTAATTTATTAATGAATACATTCAGGAGGCAAACTGATAAAAATAGACACCAACAGAGATATATAGAGACAGAGCGACACTATAAAAATAGATATTAAAGATAAAGCAAGAGATAAGCAAAAAGAATGTAACTTTCTTTTTGCTCTCTTAATTTATGGTAAATTATGGTGTAGAAACAACAAACTCTTGGGCCCTCGGCAAGAGTCTGTTCCCTATTATAATAATTGATTGCTTAACACACAGGCTATACTACCAGGAGCCCAAAGAAACACTATGACTACATAAAACCAATGAAATGGGTAAACCGAAAAATTCGGCGGAATATCCGGATTGGTTAAGCTTAAACTGAATGTTATTCGTTATTCGGCGCATCTCGAATAATAATTCACAATTTTTAATATCAATAAATAACAATGAGCATTCACTTCATAACATAAAAAAGCAGAGTTAATACAAATGAAAATTAAACCGATTATAATACTCGATTCTGACAAAATCCAAAAGGGCAACACCAATAAATTAAAGTTAAGAAGAATAGGACTTACCCTGGCACCATTTATAGACGAGAAGCGGTGAAGGTTCAGTATCAGCCGGCTTAACCCACGGCGGCAACAGTCGTCGTTTATCCGCTTCATACCACAAGTACTGGTCGAGGTACGCGTCAGTGATCTTCTCTAACGGCTCCACGTCATACACGGGGACCAGATGCGAGTACAGGTCCATGAACTCTATTCCCACCTGGTTAATAATTTTCACACATTCAAAGTTACAACTCTACTAATGTTGACGCAGAATACCCTCTGTTTGAAATAGTACTATTAAGTGTTGATTTTAATTAAGAAAAGCTATTAAACATATATTTCGGAAATATAACACATTTCTCGACTTAAATTTACCACAAAATTTAAACATTTTTTTCATACTTGTGAAAAATTAAATAAGGTAAGAGCAGCGCCATCTTGGAATTTCATTTAATAAAAAAAAAGACAAACATATGCATGTTAATGACTAATCTGATCTCTGTTTATAACAGTGTACATGTTATTTTATGTGCAATTTCTTAACTTATTTTTCACTACCGAAACTACCCTATTAGAGGGCATCCATAAATTACGTCACACGACTAACTTTCGTGATGCCACATTTCAAAATCTATTATAATCTAAGTTTTGAAAGACAAACTTTAATTTGATTGTTACAGTAAGTTCCAACTAATGTGGCGAATCTTCGTTTACGCAAAGCATACCTAAACCAATTCCAAGGACGACCATATGATTAGAAATTAGTGTGACTTTTGTTTCAATAACTATAAGGTGTAAAATACAACGTATTATGTGACCGTCTCACTCATACTCAGTGGGACACAGTAGCGCGTATCTATCAATAGTTTAAAATTTTACAATTTAATATTTCCATTACATAATGACTGAATGTGCTTCAATTTTAAGAATATATTACAACATACCTCTCTGAAAGTTCTCTGTGTTAGCAAGTGACGTTTGATTCTTGACAATGCTTCGTGAGGGTTATCGTATGCCTGTTCAATCAGTCCCAACTCTTCTCTCTGACTCTGGTTAAGTCTGGACTTAACGCTGTACGCCTCTTTTAGCCTCTCAAGAGCTAGAATTAGCAGCTTGGTGTCATGTTTGTATGACAGAGGCGGGAACGGTATAGGAGCGAAACGACGTGACTCCAGCCAGTGGACTGTAGTTGTATAGATTGCCACGGCTTCTTCTGGAGAGATGTATGGACCATCCTAACCAGAAAACATTAAAAAATTACTGAAAGAAATCATATTTATTACTGACTATTGTAGACCTACCTTTGGAAAGAAACAATCAATTAAAAGTGACTTGTAGAGCATTCTCTTTCACATAATCATTAACACTGTTGACTGTACAACAACGTCATGCCATACAAAACTCAAATTTCTCCACTCGATTTTAAACCTTATTGCATATGACGTAAAGTTCAAAATCAATTGATGAAATTTGAATTATCGTGCAGCCGTGTTTATATTTATCTAGTTGTATAAACAGTACACAGTATTAATCAAAAGATCGCGCAAGAAAAGATAGCGCAGAGCAAGCTCGCTAACCACTGATATTATAAACATATACTAAGTGCTTTCACTTAAAATGCCAATAAGATAACAGTACCTTCAAATAGTTATGTTGCCTCTCTTGTTCAGCCTTCAGGTACAACCTAGTGAGTCGGCCCAAATTCTTCTTGCATACAGTCTTGTCTACTGTGGCGCCGCGACGTATACGTTCACGATTGTAATGAGCTGTGTTGGTCCACCAGTCCGCCTTCATTTTCACATAGCGGAGTATCATGTTCTCTATAGGTGTAGGGAGACCCGGTACCTATTAGATGATAAATAGATGATATGGTTAAGTGTTATTGATTCAGACATGTAAAAATTATAAACAGAGGCTATGTACATATACCTCATGATCGCATGGATCACTTATTGATATCTAATGCCATAAAACTGGAGAATATGTATGAAGAATAATGAAGATTATAGAAACGAAAGATACACGTAAAAATAATAATAATATAATTTAAAAAAAATGGCAATAAGTCGTCTCTACTTATCCCACCAGGGCTGGCCCGCTTATGTAGTCAAACTAGGCAACTGCTTAGGGCACCCATATGAGAGGCATGGCAAACAGATTATGCTCTAATATTTGGACCTTAAAAATGCAATATCTAAAAATAAATACTTTGATCCTTTGAACCATGTCTATGGTATTTAAAAGTAACTACGTACAAAGCCTTACCTGCCTAAGGAGTTTCTTTACTCTTTTAATTGGTGTACATAAATTATGTCTTTTTTTTTTGTGATTTTGTGATTTTATATGTCAAGTATTTTGCCTAGGGTGCCAAGTTTCATTGAGCCAGCATTGCCTGGACTTTTACTACTGCATACACTGCAAGTTTAATTAATTAAGTTTTAGAATAACCAACCTTCCATGGAATGTTAGCCTTCCAGCATCTCCAAGCTTCAGAGAGATGTTGCAGAATAGTTCTGGCCTTATTCTGTTTGATACCTTCAGGCATCATATCTACAATATCGTGCATAACAGACGCGCGCAATTCGAGGTCGAAGTGAGATTCGACGCGCTGTTTTGTCACAGTTTTAGCCACACCTGTTTAAAAATAATATTTACTTAGAATTGAATATTATCATATATGTATACTATTAGAATACTTAAGTTATAATAATAATAAAAGTGTTTTCCCATAATAATGAAAGTTGTACCACATATGAAACATTTGCTAGTTGCTAATATAATAAAGAGAAAAGATTTGATTGTTTGTTTATATCGAATAGGCACCGAAACTACTAGGTCGATTTTAAAAACTCTGGTAAAAATCAATAATTCAAATCTAGCCATAGTTTATTGGTACAAAGGCAGCGCATCAGATTACCACAATATGACAAATTTCTCCTATTGATTTCAAGTTTTGCCTTCAATACATTAAAGTTTAAAATCAAGTAGAGAAATTCGACAGATTTGTATTATCTTGACGTGTTGTTGACTGTATACAATATTATTAATAACGACCCCCGTAGCCGAGTGGTTCGCATGCCGGTTTCAAGGTGTCGCCATCTTTGAGGTCCCGTTTTCGATTCCCGGTCGGGTCAATGTAAAAAATGCACTTTTCTCTATTGTCTCGGGTCTGGGTGTTTTATTTTAGCATCATTATCTCAGATACTCCATAATACGGGGGCTTTAGCTACTCATCTTGGAATCTGGGCAATGTATGTGATGTTGATTAATATTTTTTTATTTATATTATATACGAATTATTAATAGTCCACTCACCCTTTGAATGACGTCCTTCAAATTGCCTAGACAATAGATTTCCAAGCCAACGTTCCAACAAAGGTGTGATGCCACGCATGAAGAATAGCCACACTCTCCAGCCCGGCGCCCAGAAGCCGCAACCGGGTCCCTTCGATACTGGGCCCTAATGACATAGGATATTTTGAATACTATTAAAAAACGGATATAGTCCATTACATTTTAATTCAACATAAATAATTTAGAATGTTCTGTAAGTGTCAAGAGGTGAAATTGAAAGTGAGAGTGATTGCTTTTTGTATGAAAATCTAAAAGAACCAATGGAAAAACGTATATTCAGTTTGATTTTATTGGCTGATAAACATATAGCATGAAACTTCTGATGAAAGTCAAGAGACAACGGGTAGTCGTTCCACTTCATAAAATGTTTTCTGCAAGCAGTACCTAACTCATCAACAAATTAAGCAATTGTTAAGGGCGTAGCATCTTGAGCGGCAAAAAAAATTGCTAGCACAAACGTGGAGTTGATTTGCAGTTTTAACACTGACTAATTCACACTGAGCGTGAATGGTTGTGGCCCATTTTTTCTATACATTTTTTAAAAACAATACTTTACTTGACCAATGAAAATACACCTCTAAACATCAAGACAACAATGTTGTAACAATTAAAACTGGTTTGGTCAATGTAATAACTGTAATTGTCACTCACTGTATTGAATCTATAGTAAATGAGATGTTTTAGGTCCTTGCACATACGTATCTGCCGCATGAGTTTGTATTTGTACCGGTACATTCCAGTGAGCTGACCAACATGAGCAAAGATATATTGCAAACCATCAGCCAGTTGGAAAGAGTCGACATTGTTCAGTCTGTACTGGACGTGAGAATCCACAATCAATTTGGTCAGCCGAAGAATCTCGCGGCATAAGTGGAATGCTGTTGACAACATTAAGATTAAAGATTTACTTTTAGTCATGGATATACCTCTAATTTATTTGGTAGGGCTACAGTAAAAAGAAAATTCTAAAAATAATATGAATTTCAATTGCTTTTTAATTTATTACATTTTGTCGAATCCCATCTCAGGGTGCCAGGGACCAAGTGGATTTTTTAAGCATTTTGTATTCAGAATGCTTTTATAAACAATGACAGTTGCAACAACTGATGTGGCCTGTATCCAGATATATTTTGTATGAGATATTTCATTATTCCTGTTTCATGGACTTATCTATTTTTAAATTGGTTTGTAGTCTGTGCTGAAACTACATCTATCAGTAATCTGATCCAAGCTTCTACCTAATTAATAGATGACGCTTTTTTTCTCAACTTTAGATGACGTCCTCTCGAGTGAGTATTATGGAAATATACCAATCACAGGAAAACCTGCATTGGTCTCCTACGTGAAGTTGGCAGTAATATGGTGACGCAAAGTGCCATTAAAGTCAAGAAGAAGAATTTCTTCCAACATATCTATATCTTTTTTGAAATAAGGGCTCAAGCATGAAATTTCGGTTTTTAGTAGGCAGCAACACAGATATGTCATGGTATCTAAGTAACGACCACAAATCATATAATTTAAATACCAGGTAATATATTATTTAAGTTATATTTAGTTATATATATTTCTAACATGACAATTCAACAAAAGTTGAAAATTTTTTACTTACAATTTAGGTTGCCTGGAAGAAATATCGCTATTAAGCGATAAGTCTGCCTACTGTAGATTTAAGATTTATATGTTTGTATTTTAAAATTTTCTGTAGTGTATCATACAATTTGTAAATAATAAATAAACTTTATAAATCACAGAGTCAATAATTTTCTTTTAAATAAAAATAAATCATAATATGATTACATAAAAGCATCTTAATAAGTTACTCACCATTGCCAAACCGAGATTTCTTTCTCTCCTTTGTTGTCAGAGTTTTTACTGGTTTTAAATTGAAGTTGTAATCCAAGTGAAGGTAATTGAGGTTCTTACGATGGATGAGCAGGTTGAGCATATTGTAACCTTGGCGACAAACCTGTAAACCAGCCTCAACCCAATCCAAAGTCGTGGTTTGGAAGAACTTTGTAGATTTGAATGATCGAAAGAGGTACCTAAAGACGAGTAGTAAGAGTAGTTTGTTACAATTCTTTAAAATATGACTTCAAATCAGTAAGGATATATTAGACCTCTATCATTCAGTTGCACAAACATCCATTAAGGTTTAATGACACCTTTAAGCTCTAATAAATGTCAAATTTGTACAGTTATGGCTCCTTAAACTGATGAAAAATTTTATGAACATTTGTACAACTGGCTGTATAATAGGTAAAGTTATATACAATATTAATTAACCGCTTACCTTTTCTTCTGTGGCTTGGGTGGTCTGTGTTTCAAAGCATTCAGCACATAATATTTGAGCAGTTTTTGGTATGAGACCCTTACTTTCACAGGTTGACCAGGTGGACAATGCTCCTTATACCAGGTCTTCACAAGAGGTACGTCAATAGCGCGTCGACAACGACCTAACAAGCAAGATAACGTTAAATTGATACCCTTTTGTTAATAAAAAAAAGGGTTAAAGAAACTAATTATTCTTACCAGATCTCATGCAGAAAGGTCTTGGTGCCCACAGTAAAGCAATACCATTGGCTGTATTGTCAGTATATAAAGCGGTTTCTTGTAGGAATGGAGAAACTTCCTCGGGAAGAATGAATTCCTCCTCCTCAGGCACTGGGTCTAAAGACTTGACTGAATGGCGATGAGATATTGGATTGATCAAAGGATCAAAATAAAATGCAGGCAGGTCAGGGTCCTCTGTTTTGATGTAGACAACATTCGGCGTGTGATACCTAAGATAATAAAAAAATTAAAATATATACTTACTTGATTACGACTATAAGTCAGATAAATGAGCTATGAAGAAAACTTACCAAGATAGTTGGACAAAGTGTGGCAAATTATTGTACAAATATGGAAAAGCTATCCTGTACTCTGTCCTAATAGGCTGCCGAATGATAATTTTATTTATGTCATTAAATTCATTCCAGTCTTCATCTCCGGCTGAATTATCTTTAACCAAAGGCTCAAACTTTGGACCACCTGGTATAGCCATATTAAGTGCTTTAGCTGTGAAAAAACTTTTTGAATCAAAGAGGTAGAAATAGTTGTCATCTACCAAGTCAGTTAGGAGCTGATTAGCTAATCGGTACAAAGTTGCCATTTGTGGTAAGGTCAGATTCCATTTTCTATATGTGGAACCATTGACGTGTCTTGTACCAAGCAATGGTTTGTGATCATAAAACCAGGAAGCAACAGCTTTGTCTTCTTCAGGATCTAACTCAATTTGAATGGGTTCTAACGGCTCCACGTCTAGAATGTTATCAGCATAATCCAATGGAGGTTCTTCATCATCAAATGGAGGAAACCTCATTCGCTTGAAGTGTCTACGGTCACGTTTTTCTCTTCTCATCATAATCCACATAGTGCCCCATTGTGCAATGTATACTGGCTCTATAACCCATGGGATTTCATTAACAAATGTGATTGCACCAGTAATATGATAAAGGACCTTGACATCTCTGATCTGTTCCCAAGGCATGGGCATATTTTCAAGGAGTTTCATGACTGCATGTGGCATGTATTTGAGAGCACCCAGGTATACTCTCTTATCATGGCGATATTTCCGGCTAGTCATATCACCATGATCTCTGATGATCTTCCTGATATGCTCTGGAGGCATGTCTTCTTTTTGTGCATCCACAAAACCAAATTTGCGTTTTTCGGCAAATCGCTTCGACTGCAATTGTAGCCATTTTTGAGCTGCAAATAAAATTATTATGACTACGATTGGAAACAATTAAAAAATAAAAAATAAATTGCATTCATATTTTTAAGACATTGTTTTTGCTCCATCTAGAAACATTATAAATTATACTCCATTCACTATAACATTAGAAAAAAAGAGGGCCATAGAAGCAGTAGTGCCGAACATTTTATTTTCAAGATAAATTTAAAAAATATATATTATAGTTTTATTGAACTTCGAAGGTTAGGTATTCTGAAAAAGCTGAGCAATTTTCTATTTTTTACGATACCTCGAGGTTGAGAGGAGGCCAGTATTTTGTAAATTCATCTTTTACTCCCAAGCCAACATAGAACTAAAACTATCTTTCTGTTTTAATTAAAATTAGAATAGAATTTAGTTATATCTATGCCTAGTATAGAAAGGTAAACAAAATGAAATTTTTATTATTACTTTTATAACATATATTCAGACATTAGACTATTGATGAAGACATTGGAAAAACTTCTTGAAATGTCAAAGGTTGAAGTTGGTATGGGGGCTTAGAGTATAATTGTTGTAGGCCACACAGGCCTGCCCCGGCATCGTCCATATTTAATAAAACTTAACAACAAAAATAAAACAATAACAACATAATCATGGAAAACGGCTAAACAATAAGAAAGGCAGCATAGCATTCACAATGGATGACAATCCCAGATTACGTATTTTGACAATTATGAATACATCATAGTCTGACAAAATTAAAAAACTGTACTGCCGAAATGTTTGAAGGGATTAGGCAATGTTTTAAATTTGGTAGAATTATAGTGACATGAGAATCGTGCCGAAACTATCCAACCCTGCTTCTTTAAGCTCTTTAAGATGAACACTTTTTATTGTAATAGTTATTAAATCATTGAAGTTAATCAAATATTCATAAAGGACATCGCCGAAAATAGCCCCAATACCATTAAATATTAATACTTCAATAATAATTACTAATTTATTTATTAAATTGGAATCAAATATTTATTTGACACAAACAAGCTGCGATCCAAAATTAATATTTAAAAGTGCTTTAACAGTAACATTTTTATTCGCAAATATTCACATTCAATATACTTAAATTCTATTGAGTCAGATGGATGTTATTTACATGTCCTTTGTTTAATAGATAGCTTAAATGATAACAGTTAAGCATAGCAGCTGGTATTTAAGTGAATATGTAGCAAATTAGCCAGCAGTCTTAAGAGTAACATGATTATTGATATTTTGTCACAAAGTATACTATAAAAAGAACCTTATTTACTTCTGTCTAATGCTATAATGAATGGAGTATAGGCAACTATAACTCTGCCAACAAAAAGTTTCTCTTTGATTTGTTTCAGCCAGCATTTCATTAAAATTATTTAAAATTTGTTGGATAATCGGAAAAGATTTTGATGTAATCATGTTTCCTGTAATATGACAAAAGTTAACATTATTATTTTAAACAAGGGCTACTTTAAGGTTTAAACTAAGACCAATAAGTAAATTGACAATGACAGAAAAGAAATCATCAAATTGTGACATTTTGACTTTTTAGATAAGGTAAATCCTAACATTTTCTTAATTTAATATGCCAGTACCATATTGCTGTAAAAAGATGTTCAACAATGCTGGAAAAGCTAACAGTTTTTGTTCTAAAATAAAAACCCATTAAGTATATATACTTGAAATATAATTCTAAATCAATAATGTACACACAGCTGCACAATAGAGTGGGGAAATTTGACAGCTTTTCTAACATGCAGTTGATTGTACTATATAAATATTAAAATACAGATGTGACAGGTGTTACACATTTCACTTTATACCACAATTATTTCAATTGGCTTGGTGACAGCTTTTATGCCAAAAAAAAAAATTAAAAAAATATCAAAGCACTCTGTCTTTTTTTTAATAATATATAAAGAACATATTTTTATTCATCGATATTTTGCAACTAAGATGTTGACTGGTAGTTTATTTAAATATGACATCACACTATGCTTCGTCATGGCTACCCTTATTTCAGATCTTGTAATGCACGGATTTATAAATTGGAAGTTAATCTTGCAAAAATAAAATATTTATTTAATTTATAACTTTTAACTATCATATATATTCATACCATTAATTTTACAACAAAAATTCTAAATAATTTTGTTCACATACAAGTTATCATTTCCAATATACCTAATTCATAATTTATTGTTATAATTCTGACAAGTAGCCAATTTGCATTTGATTATTCATACCATTTTGTCACCAAAATATGAATCTAGAGTATTGCAGTAGTAAATCTTTGATTTTGAATTGCAGTTTTAATTTTATCTAATTAATATTGAATAATATTTTAACATTTCAAGTCTTTGTAACCTCCTTTAAACTTCAACTATTACTATATATAGGTATATATATATATATATATATATATATATATATATATATATATATATATGAATCAAGCTATCAGTATTTTACTATCATATCTATTTTTGTGTTATTGTTGTTGAGTATGAAATATTACTGAATCAGTATATTACCAATTAAACACACAATATTGAAATACATATTGCAAAGATCTTATTCTGCAACATAAGCATTTTCTATAATAGCTTTTGATAGAAAATCATATCTAATTGCAAAATTAATATACCCTTTAGGAAATAGTTTCAACAATTGCTATATGATGAAACAATGGGAAAAGGGAATGAGTTAAATCAAATGTGGCAAGATTGAGTTGATAAAAATTGCTTAAAATTAGATGACATTATTGATAAATGCTGTCTGTATTCATAAAGCACCAAATTATGTACTTAAGCACATTTGTTAGTGATAATCAATATATCTAACCTTTTTCTTTGATCTTTTCTTCCGTTATGTGATGCGGTTTGGGCGGTTGTGTGGGTGGCACCGGAGGCGCAGCTGCAGCAGCGGCGGCGTGCGCTTGCAAGGCTGCTTGCTGCGCCGCCGCTAATTGCTGCTGCGCCATCATGGTGGCCCAAGGGTTGGGCCCCAGTAGGTATGGCGGCAGCGACATGGCTGCACTCCTATATTGAATAAAACATTAAAATGAACGCAGTCCTCACGATACTCAAAATTTTGTTAAAGAAAACTAACGCGTGGTAATTCACCGGTTGTGAAATACTACCTTAATCTCAATTGATAGTGGTAATATAAACACTCACTTAAATAACGTTCCCGCCGCAAGAGGATTTTTTTTATTTACATCACAGAAATAGGAAATAGTTCAACATGTAAAAAGAAAGTAACACAGCAATTCAATTTACAACAACGTTTGTTGAATGCTGCCGGCCATCTTGTAAAATTTTCAAATAGGGATGGCGGTCTAATGTAGGAATGATCGATATTCATTGATGTTTTACCTTCGATATCATCAGCACATCTATGTTTTCTAGCAAAATATCGATGTTTATGAATAAAATATCAATACTTATAATTATTAAGTTGCCCTTAAGAAGATTACTATACTAACTGCTTGCTTAATTTGTTTTGCATTGAATAAAGGTTCAAGAAGATTCTTTTTTCGGTGTCGGATAGCTTCGCATGTAATAACTTACCTATGCTACGAAACTTTTTATTTATTTATTTAGCAATCCAAACAATTATATACACTATTAAAACCAATAAAGTTTGTCCATAGTGCCACGTATTTTTAAGTTATTACATATCTAAATTAACGATAGTTAACACAAAAGTTATTATTCCATTGATACTATACTGGGAATAATCTATCGACATGCCAATATACTTTAAAGTTAATTCTTGATATCTATATATTATTGCCAACATTACATGATCCAAAATGCACTCAAATAAATTTATAGTGATATACTAATTTACTATAATTATTATTTTAAATATCAATGTAGCATCGCGATTACAAATCAATCGAATATATTTTTTGACGTGGATACGTCTATGTTTTCGTTCTACAGGGGGGTCATTCTGTGAGCAGGAGTATATGCACTAACGCCATCTATTGGCGAATAAGTGAACTATGCTTGCTCTGCAGGGGGAGGGGCATTCTGTCAGCAGGAGTATATGCACTAACGCCATCTGTTGGCGCTAGTGAATACTTTTTTCAGTCGACAAATGAACGCAACGAATATTAATTTATTTAGTGTACTTCAGTTTGTTTTTTTTTTTTTGAATTATTCATTTATAAATGCAATTATGCCACAACGTTGCATAATTCCGGGTTGTTTTGGAGAAGCGAATCGTTCAGTTTTTAGAGTGCCAAAGAACATTGATAGACGTGAAGAGTGGTTAAAAGCTATTCGTGATATGTTTCCTAACCTGGATGTTGGTGAAATTTTTTTTTTAATCAATTTCTCATATATCCATTCATACATAGACGTATCCACGCATAAAATATGGCTGTATCAATGATACAGCCAACCAGGGTTTTTATTTTATTATAACCTTTTTATTTGGCATATACACAACTTGAAGCGAGTAAATTCGTGCGGTAGATAGTGGTCTCCTACGTGAAATTGGCAGGATTGTGGTTAATACAAAATAGCCATTAAAATAGTGGAAGAAGTTACGTGTATACAATCTTATTTATAGTTGCAACCATTTTTCAATATCTTTATTAAACTGGCGGCACGCTATGATGGCCGTTTTGACGTTTGTCCGCTCATGAAATTCCGTATTAATTGATAACGACTTTGAAGGAAAATAATTGCATTACTTTATTGACGATAGTGATGTACAGAGATTCATAAGTGATGTGCAGAGATTCATAAGTTTTATCGAATGTCATTTATGAACCAAAAAAAGCTTTTGTTTCTGCCGTTTTTATTTATATTATTTTTTATTATGTTAGGTAAAATTGCTCTATTTCTTCTTACTGTTCCAGTGGCATAAATATTTTTTGTATACAAGTACTGCATGAGAGAAAAATCGCAAAAAAAGTTATCGAATGTAACATGAGTCTTGAAAGCTTCTTGTGCTAATTTACTTGACAATTTCTTTACGACATTAGCTCCTAGACCCTCTTCTGTTCCTTGTCCTGTTTTGCCTGTATAAATTTCATAGTTATATAAGTACCCTGTGCTACTATCACAACAGCACCACACTTTATAGCCCCTTTTTATGGGCTTTAGCGGCATATACTGCTTCAAACTGGACCTTCCTTTGAATCGTATCATGCTCTCATCGATACTTTGCGAAGAGGAATTAGAGGCATTGTTTTGAAATGATTGACTAAGTAAGGATATAAGAGGACGAATTTTATATAATTTATCAAAATTTACATCTTCTCTACTTGGTTGTTGACTATTATCGTTCAAATGCAAAGTCTCTAAAATTTTTTTGAAGCGTTTTACTGGCATAACTTCAGCTATTTCCTTCACATGAAATCCAGGATCCGATGACCAATATAAATCGATTTGTGGAAGTATATGATAACCCATTATAATGAGAATGCCCAAAAAAGCACTAATTTCCTGTTTGTCAACAGGCTGCCAATTTTTTATATTTTGCTGCTCCGCATATAAGTTTGTCTGAGTAACAATCAAATCGAACACTTCATCACTAAAAATTTTTTGAAATGCGCTACTGGACGTGCTCTCCTATTCAATAAATACCGAGGTTTTATTGTCACTTTATCAAATTCATCGGGATCTGGCCTGGATGTCCAGAAATCCTTCCCCCATGACCCATCTTCACATTCAGATTCAGCAGTCAATCCTTGTTCTAAGGGTGATGATGATTGTACTATCAAAGGCTCTTCTGGCTGCGAGTTATCTAATTGTGAACATAGTGCTATTGTAGATGTATCTGACTCTGAACTGTTATTAGGGGTAGAATTCAAATGAGCAGGAGAATTTTGTAAAAGGTTACTAAAATCATCATCTAATTCAAGTAACCGTTGTATTGTATTCACGTTGAACTCTTCTGCCTCATCAGACTCAAATCCGTCTTCTGAGCCATCATCAGGAATGCCGAAAATCTGCTCCAATGTCTTTTCAATATCATTTTCATTAAAATAACGCGGCATTTTTCATAAAAACCTGAGAAAAGAAGGAACTAGTACAACAATTGTATATAACACGCCACGGGCAGCGGGAATATTTTTCCCACCAAGTAAAAAGTCCTCTCACATCTAAATACGATAGTAACTTCTAAGGTATAGCAAACAACTTGAAGAATAAACAAAAATACATAATAAAAAAACAGATTCTTACCTCTTTTCAAATAAAAGATATGAAGTTTCGCGGAGAAACTTTTCTTTCAAAATTGGCGCAATTTTTTGACAGCTAGTGGCGCCAAGAAAAAATATGTCACACAAACGTCATTTTTTTCTTAATAATAATAAGGCATACCTCCTTAGTTGCTAGTGCAACAAATTAGGACTTCTTTGATAACTCACATAGAAAGATAAGCAAAATTTTTGTTGGTGGTAAATATATCGCCTCTGCCTTAAAAAGGGTTAACATCGATTTTAACAATGCATTATTTAATATTAGATAATATTAATATCAATTTAAATTAAACTGTACCTATTACCAAACACATCGAAATTTTGATAAGTATAAATCCGAATTTTTGTGTATGTAATACATACACATCTTGAAATACATATTTTACATACATGTTTAGAAAAGTTGGCTTGTTTGACTCTTTATCAATAAAGAAATAGATTAAAAGTTCTTCCTTATCAAAATTAGTTTACAGCATCGATGTTCAGTTTACGATAAATATCGAACATCGATGTTTGAAAACATCAATGATATTTTGCAATAATTTACAAAGAAATAAAATACAGTGAATCTTTCGAAATTTATTAAGAATCAGAACAAATCATTTCATATTCCAATATTTTATATCAACTGATTGAAGGAAAACTAATTTTGTTAAGCAAGAACCTTTTAATCTATTTCTTTATCGATGAAGAGTCAAACAAGCCAATTTTTTTAAACATGTATGTAATCTTTTGCATTTTGAGCTATCTATATTTTTTTTTTTCAAATGACTTTTCAAATTTTCAAATGAATTTTCAAATGCTTGGCAGTGGCGTAAACGACGCGGCGAGTTTCAATGTATGCGTGCGCCGATTAGTAATGGAATCGAGTTATAGTTCGTTTCACTAAAGTAGTCCTTTGGATCACAGTCATTACGCTTTTATTACAAAGGAATAAAAGTTATTATACATAAAGAACTCTTTTGTGAATCAGTATATACTGTTCCTTTTATGTATTGTCCTGCAGATGGAAGTGTAGCGACGGCATGACACTGACATGACATTCATTGTAACGAAGGAGCACGAGGTTACAAATAAATAGCTTATTTGTAACCTCGTGCTCAAGTGCAAAAGATCAAGTGGATTCAGGACCGATTTATTTTATGCTAAAACAAACTTGCAAACTTATATTACATCGGTACTTTTAATTATAATCACATGTGACATTTATTTTTATATAGGCTAATCTCTAAATTCAAATGGTGGAGTTAATAGAATGTTGTCAATATTAATAATACTTTCTAATTCACTATTAATTTCATCCACTGTTTCTCTTATTAAATCTTCGTCATCTGATATTTCAATATTATTTTCTGATTCCTGTATGTCTGTAGAATAATCCTCAATTATCTGAGTAAGAGCCTCTGCTATGTCAGAATCGCTATTTAAAGTTTCTTCATCTTCATTATCACAGATTCTTATATTTTCTATATCAGAAGGTTTTTTATTTAAATTAAAAACATTGTACTCATTACATGTATTTGAATCATTGCTTAGATCATTGGTAAAATTGTTTGTAAACACACAAATATTTTTATCTGTAATGTCAGGAGATATATTTTCATTTACATGATGGGGTTCTTCGCTGACTTTTAAATTTTCACTTGTACACGGTATTGTATTGAGTAATTCATTAGAAGACTGAACTATATTGAAGCGATGTTTATCTTTTGTGACATCATAATCTTTCCCATGACAGTCGATTGAACAAATCACATTATTATTTGTTATTATTTGATTCTGAGAATTTATAAAATTAACTTCTTCGTGTATTTCATTAGCGATTGCATCTTCTCCAAGGTTAAGTTTATGAGAATTATTATTTGAGTTAAAAGTACCGATGTAGGTTTTATTTTGTTGATTTTTAAGTCTCGCGATCAAGTCGGGATTATCGTTTTTGAAATCCTGTAAGATTTTTATAGTATTTCGTACGTCGTTGTGATTTCGCAATTCTATTTGTAATTTTGCATTTAACTGGTAAAGAAGACAGTCATCACGTTGCTCTACAGTTTCAAAAGCTTGAGGCTGGAATTCAATAAGTCAATAAGTGATTTATAAAATGATGTCATTTAAGACAAAGATTGTTTATTATAATAATTTATAAACCTTTCTAATTTTGACAATTACTTCGGCCAATTCTTCAGCTAATTTAATAGTGCCTTCTGGTAAATTTGTTTTAGAGGCTAGGGTCAATCCATAACGATCAATCTCAGTTATCCCAGGTTCAATTTTGTGTTCATAAACGATGCGTTTCTGCACCAATTCGCCATTTATTATTTCTTCTTCTCGTATAACAGTATGATAGCTAAAACAATAACAGATTAGGATTGGCTTTTTATGAACAAGAATAAGTACCAATACTTTGTTTTTTTATTCTAATATTGAAACCTACTTCAC